AAGGGGAATCCCTTTTATTGATCACTGTCCGTCGCTTGAAGAGCTCTCCAGCTGTCTGGCCTTTAATTTTTGAAATGATTTGCAATGCTGCAGCCACTGTTAATTGATTTTTAAGTGGCAACTACAATCAGGCAAATACTCTCGGTTACGCATCAGGTGACACATGCAGGCTCATATTACAGCCATTCGGCATCAAATAAAAACCTTAATGTAATCAGTGATAAAAAATGTGGTTGCAGAGAGAAGTTATAGACTAGGAAATGCTCTGTAAAGAATTGTGGAAAGTCAACAAGGATAAATAATTTAAAAGTACAAATTTTATTAAATTTTCTATTATAAATTATAAGGTTGAATACTATAAATTCCGCTGCTTGGATTTGTCATTGATCTGTATCATAAATATTTATAGAATAATTCCCTCAATACCTTTACAATTACCACAAGTTCAATGCTAATTCCAAAACAGCTCATTATTAGGTATGGGAAAGCGATTGAAAGTTAATTGCTGATCTCATCCCTTCCACTTTTTTTGTTCTATGTGCAACGGGTGTAATCACATTTTATGTTAAATGCACTTAATTTTTTCTCCTTTACACCCCCCAACTAAATGCCAATTAAAATTCGTAATTATTTTTTAATGGCATTTTGTGGTCAATATCAGAGCGATTGGCGATGATTGCACAGCGGTGGCTTTGGCGGAATGAAAGGGACTGTACTCAACTTTGATGACGGGATGCCGTCATGACAATCCACATTTATGACGACCAAATGGCCGGTATCGATATCAATTGCATGACTTGTCAAAGCGGCGCCCGCCTAAAAGGAAGAAAAGTGCCGAGCACATGTCCTTTTGGCTTGTAAAGTGAGTGTGTTGAGGGGGTGGGTATAAAATTGCAAGCAATTGCAGCACAAACAAGGAATCGCAATAAGAGCTTCCAATGTCCTGCTGCCTCACGGAAATTCGAGCAATCATCACCTATCGACATTTCGTTTCACATCAAACAGGACACGGCAGGCACATGCCGCAAGTGACAATCATTTATATTTAATAAACAACAAACGCATGCAGGACATACAGCAGGGGTAACAAAAATAGAAATATGTAAAATTTTTAATTTTACTTTAATATTTTTTTTTATCAGTTTTTTGTATTTGCCTTTTAAGTTTTAATTTAAAATAGTAGAAGTAAGTTGTTTTCAGCAATAGAAGTAAGCATTCAAACCTGTTCATTATAAATCCTCATAACGAAAGACTAGAAACAGCTTCCACTTTTCTTTTAACGAGATCTTTATCTTATTTTAGAATTATGTTGAATTTGTAGACCCTTTCTGGGTATTATATCAGTCAAAAGCTTTTAACACTGTGAAAAAGTCATTTTCGACCCTATAAATCATAAATATTCTTCATCAGCATTAACAGCCGACTCGATTTTGCCATCTCCGGTGGAAATAAAATTAAAATTTTTTTTTTTTAATTTGTTAACCTGTTAAAAACAAACATAGGAAAGCTTTCCAAACTAAGATTTTTAAACTTTGATTTTACCAACAAATTAGCATATTTTTAATACCGATTTATTACACTTAGAATACGCATATTTTTGGTTTTCTTGGTGATATACAAAGTTATACATTTTTTGATTTGCAGTCATCTTAATATCTTGTTATTTATTTATTTTACCCAAACATATTAAGTTCTAATAGTCCAATTGCCACTGTATGCCCATCGATTGGACTCAAAAGAAAAGAGGGTGGGGGTGGGGGTTAAGGGAAAACCAGCTCGGAAAAACAACAGTAAGATGACGAGACTTAGCGGCCATTGTCTCCGCCTGCTGTCTCCTCCCTCAACGCGTTTGCCCATCGTGGAAATTGTTTATCATGCATTTTGTTCGATTCCGGGTCGAGGCGTCTGAATAATGCAGCAGGTAGTGTTCGGTGATGGAAATGTGGGAGTGGAAAAGCGGGCGGTGGGGGCGGTCAAATAAATAAGCGAGCATGAAGGCGAAGGCGAAAACAACGGCAAAGCAGAAAAGGACAACAGCAAGGATACAACAATGCTGCAGACACAAAACCGCTTCGAATCGCTTTGGGCGGCATTCAAATTGAATATTGAAAGCATCGAGCACAAAACTGGCAAACGCTTGAATTATGCATTAATGATGTCTGCCACGGTGGACAGGACAATGGAGGTGGGTTAAGGGACAGAAGGGTTTTCCTTTATTTTTTGTTATTTTTTTGGTTCTTTTATCGGGAACAGGAGACAAGCACGATGGGAATGCGTCGCTCACTAGCTGACCAGCGACCGCTTATTAATTTTTTATGCGTCTGCTATTTTTATGGCCAACATGAAAGCTTTGGCCGCAAGCGTTTTACTTGTATTTTTGTGGTTATTTTCAGCTAGCTTTCAATAGCTTTTTTTCACGAACATTTTCATTTGTTCTAGACGAATTTATGTTGGTACTAGTAGCAACAGCAGCGATCAAAGTAATAGAATTGCTAAGTAGATAGTTGAAGTGTTTTTTGGATTAAATATTTCCATTGCATCAAAATTTTTTAATTTTTATCAAATACATAAATACAGATAACAAATATAATTAAATCTGTACAATGGTATACCGTTTCTATTCCCCTCTCTGCAAAGTGTCCTGCCAAATCCCATTGTTCGCTAATTTTTTGTCAAATAAAAATTATGGTAGTATTATGCTTTGTGTTTGCCAGATTTTCCATTCGGCTTAATGCTATTGGGCTTCTGCATAAAGCACGATGCGCCCTTGACAATGGTTGTCAATATTATCCCGATATCGGTGGCCTGAAAGACGTTAATTACCAGCATTACCGCGGCCCGATTATCAGCCGCACAAATCAGCGGTGATGTTGGCACGGGTCCAACCCTATGTACCGTGTGCAGGCCAATGGAAAACTCATTACATGCCACAGGAACCATCATCCAGGAGACAGCAAACAGGCGACAGGAGGCAGGCAGCACCGGTTCCCACATACCGCGCCCACGAAAGGCCACCGCAACATGTCGTAATGCGTGGCCCATCAGCATTTGCATGCGAAGCTGGAGCCCCCCTCTAGTATCTCACCGATACTTAAAGCCAGCCGGTAGAGTTGCAGTGCCAAAGGACAAACTTAATGTCAACACGCTAATCTGTCAGTCCTGGGACCTGGGAACTCTAAGCAGAGATTGGGATTGGGAAAGGATCTGCCGCAATGTCGGGCTACTTAAGGAGCGCTCCTTCGCCTCGCCTCGCTGCACAAGAGCTGAAGGATAACGGAGGCGGTTCGTAAAGAGGGGGTAGAAAACACAAAACACAATTTTGAAATACTTACATTTCATATTCTTCAAAGTTTGGTGGTTTGAAATTTTATAAAAAGAAATGTGTTCAATACTTACAAATTCAAATATGGATTAAGTATGGATAAATTTGATTTAATTACTTTATTAATGAATAGTTCAGCCCAATAAGGTGTTAATAATAAAAACAATACCTCAGAAAATTATGAAAACATTTACAATTGAAATCCATTATTTCAGGTTATGGATTAATTTTTATTAGAGAAAGTGTCGCATACTTTAGTTTCTTTATATATTACATATTTATATGGTTTTTCCAAAAATTGCCAACGCAATTTTTAGTAAGTATTTAAACCGATATTTAAACCGTTAAAAATTCTCCTATGAAAGTCAGCTTCGAATTTTAAAAATTACTCCAATTAACTGTTCGTAAATTCTGATTAACCTTATTACAAAATATATTTAGGCTTATTGTCCGACTTTCTAGCCAATTACTAGTTAATTATAGCCAAAACTGAACACAATTTTGCTCAATTTTAATTTTACGTAACCATGCTATAAATATTTATAGATCATTATTTCTTAATGTGTAGCTCTGCCTTGATGGGTGCAACAGAAATGCCGCATCCTTTTGAAATGACAAAAATTTGTTGCTTTCAGCGGGGGCTTGACGCCTGACTGACGCCAGGAGACACTGGCGGGCCACCACAAGATGCCAGATGCCATCACCTATCCGCCCACTCAGCTTACCCAGCTAACCATCCACCTCCCACCAGCCTCCCCACCGTATCCTTTGGAGGACGCGCCTTATCAACTATGCAGGGCTTTGTCTCTAAGCGATTGCAGCCGCCCCCTTTGGCCGACCCAACCTCCCTCCCCCGGGGCAGCGTCTTTTGTTGCGCTTAATGAATTTTACGTAAATTTTACGAGCGCTGATTCTGATTTCTGGCAGCCAGGGCCACCCCAGCTATTAATCCACACTTTAGTGAGAGCACCACACCCCCCGGTGAATGGAGAGTGGCTGGTGGGATGGATAGTGGGTGGTGGCTTTTAGCTGGTTGTGCGTGTGTAATGACAAGTTCAACAACAACTCCGGCATTGTCGGTCGGCGACTGGTGACGGAGACGACGTGCTCCGACATTTGTTTGCCCAAGTTATGCAAATATTTTTCCAGTCAAGAAGTTTTTGTTTAATTGCATATTTTGACTCGCATTACGCGTGTCATAAAGCAGGGATCCGTAGATTACCACAGCATTAAGGTGTGGGAGGGGGAAGGCGGTACAGGAGCTAGTACATCCGGAAGGCATGTCCCGGAATTTTAGAGTTCACTTAATAGTTGGCAAGACCTAAAAAGCAACACAAGACAGACTTAAGGAGCTTTATTTTAAAAGACTATATTGGTACATACGTTATCATTTAAGTCAAATATTTTGAATGTATCGGATAATGTATTCTTTGTTTAAATGTTGTTTTTGTAAAGTGTGTGCCATTACCATGTAAACTAAAAAATAATCGGAGTTGCATAGACAAAATCTGCGATAAATCCGTTAACATCGATACCCTTTGAAAACCTTTATTTAAAGGTTTCTTCTACAACTTTTTTACTTTTTAAGTCAATTTTTTCTATAAGAAAATGTTTCATTTTTCAATTTGATGTGTTTTTCAAAAATATACCTTACCAATTTATTATAAAATTTTAGTTTTAAAAGTAAATTTTGTTCAAAAGTTGGCGGAAAACTTGCAATGTTAAAGATCATTTTTCCGTAGTCTACTTTTTTGGGCGCCACTTTCTTCTCTATATCGGGCAGTATCGAACACGGTCCTACTTTCTATCAGGTTGAATGACACAGCAAGTTTTCTCTTTTTCCACAAAACATGGCAAGTGCTGAAAATTGGATTTCGTCGGAGGTGGAGCAGGGTATCCTGCTGTCGGAGACAGAAGAGAACGGCATCGTTACCAGGACGTATATAGCCCCCATGTTGGAGCACGAGAAGATGGAAAATAAAGATCCCTTAGCTTTGCCCAAAAAGTATCCGATGCCGTACTTCTGCCCACATTGTGGCAATGGCATCGGCTCGTCCGGAGCTTTTACCATGCATCTTCGGGCCTGCCAACGACGCATGGCAGGTGGGCAGCGCCAGGCAGATTTTCCAGCGAAATTCGAACCGCAGCCGTCGCAGAAATCGTACCCGCACGTCAAGCCCTGGAGAAAGACATATTCCGGCCCTTTCCAATGCATCTTCTGCAGCAAGGAGTTCGAGGTGAAGCTCGAGCACGGACAAGGTCGGCGTCGGTATGCCTGCGACGATTGCGGCCAGAAGGCCAGGGCCAAGGAGGCGGAGCGCCAGAAAAATCCCAAGGTCAAAGGGAAGTCGTTGACCTGCGATCGGTGTGGGAAGAAGTACAAGCTGGAAGGCTTTCTGGTGCGCCACCAGATCCTATGTCAGGGCATTAGCGAGAAGAAGAAGAAGAGCGAGACCCCGTACGAGATCCACGAAATCACGAAGAAGAAGCTCGAGGAAAAGATCGAAGTCATCGAGCTTCAGGCGACGGATGAAATCCAAGAAGTCACCGAAGTTAAGGAAGAATTCGAAGTCAAGATTATCTAGGTCAAGCTAGAGGGCGAAATCTACGAAGGCATCAAGATATAGACCGACCAAGACTGCTAGACTACAGTATTATATTCAATTTGTTAGGAAAATTTAATTATTTTATATTTATATAAAATGAGATTATTATTATTTGTTATAAAAACAATCTGGTTTTAATATAAGCTTTTAGCAAAAATATTTAAATTATACCACCAATTATTGTTTATCGAAAATCGATGAGCTCTCGATTTTCAATATATTGCATATTTTGGTATATATTTAAAGAAAAATACCATTTTATAGTAAAACCCGCTAGATTTTGGTATATTTTTGAATTGAAGGCGGTATGTTTTAACGGTCGAGCAGCGGTCACACTGTGCACGTGTAAATTCTGTCACGAAATAAACAATCATTTGTGAATTTTTAACACGCCGCCATGAGTTCCGACGAGTGTAGCGATGGCGTAGAAGACCTAAAGGAGCTGATGGCCCTGTACAAGCAGGAGGAAACGAAACCTCACGAGAAGAAAAAAGAACCCTACATCCCGAAGGCTTCCAAGGCGAAGAATCTGAACTATGTGGAGGTGCCCATGGAAAAGGTACTCTTCGGGGACAGAGAGCGGTTCCTCAAGAACCTGGCTGCTTCCGTGAAAGGTCGCCCAGTACTCGCTGAGGTGTATGAGGAGAAGGAGCAAGCATCGGGTGATGATATCCCGGGGAAGAAGAGGAAAGCTGCCTGGTCGGATTCCGATGACGAGGACCTCCAAGTGGGCGATGTAAAGAAGCCCACCAAGCACACGGGACCGCTGAATCACCTGCGCAAGGATAAATCCTACAAGGAGTACCTGACGGCACGATTCCAGCGTACCCAAAACCAACCGAAATGGGCGGAAAAGAGGGTCAAAGAGGATGACGACGACTTATCATCCGATGAAGAGCTGCTCCGGACCGTGGGCTTTATCGATCGCAAGGCTAGGCGCATTGATCTACCTGAAAAGATTTTGAACTTCAAGCGTGTCAAGGATCTGAACAGAGCCTCCTATGCTGAGGGTCTCGTCTCCAGCGTGCAGTTCCATCCTACTAGCACGGCTGCTCTGGTGGCGGGCGAGAACTCTGTGGCCACCATCTACACGGTGGACGGACAGAAGAATGAGAAGCTGCACAACATGCGGTTCAAGAAGTTTCCCCTGATCTGCGCCCGGATTGCACCCTGTGGCACCAAGGCGTACTTTGGCTCGACGAAAAAACACTACTATGCCTACGACCTCCTGGAGGCCACGGAATCCAAGCTGGTGCTGCCAAGCAACATAAACTCGATGCACCGCTTTGAAGTGTCGCCTTGTGGAAAATTCATTGTGACAGCTGGGAAGTATGGAGCCATCCACCTCCTGACAGCAAACACCAACGAGCTGTTGCACAGCTTCAAGCAAGAGGGCGAGGTGCGAGGTCTTTGCTGGTCCGGCGACTCGCGCAGGATTCTCGCCTGCGGCTCCAGTTCTAATGTCAACGTGCTGAGTCTGCGAAAGAACCTTATCGAGCACTCCTTCTTGGACGATGGCTGCATCAGTGGACAGTGCATCCAGCTGGCTCCTAATCAACGCCTTCTGGCCACCGGCAGCAGCGAGGGAGTGGTGAATATCTACGACTACGAAACAGTGTTCGCCTCAGCAATTCCACAGCCGGAGAAGCGCTTCATGAATCTAAGAACGGCCATTTCGGATCTGCAATTCAATCACTCCTCGGAGCTGCTAGCCATGAGCTCACGTGAGGCGCCGAATGCCATGAAGCTGGCTCATTTCCCGAGCGCCACCGTGTACTCCAACTTCCCTGGGCAAACTGATAATGTGGGCTTTGTGACCTCGATGGCTTTTTCGCCGCACAGCAGCTTCGTGGCCTTCGCTACCAAGGGCAAACGAGTGCCGCTCTATAGGCTGAAGTACTACAAGAATTATTAGCTTTAATCGAAGGTTCTTCGATTTTTATAAGCAATTTCGATCACAAAAAAACTGCAAATTTTATATAAACATAAAGGAACCTAATGGGATTTTAAAAGAATTTTTATTTCAGTTGCAAATTGCCAACATTTTGGGATACTAATAACTAAAACTGAGGACGGTAAACGTCCCGCTTCTGGGAGTCGTGGATCTTCCCAATTTCATCGAGCTTCTTGGTAATGTTCGACGACTGCGACTCGATCCATTGCAGTGAGCTCATGTGGGCGTTGACGATCTTGCCGATCTGGATAATGGGATCAGTGGTGTCCTGTCCCTTGTTGGTCTCGTTCAGGTTGTCGATGATCTCTTTAAGGTCTTCGGACATCTGCTTCAGCTGCGTGTCCAGGTTCTCAACCATCAAATAGGTCTGGCTGCGCTCCATATCAACCCTTGGAAGATTTACAAACTCCTTCTCCAGCGGTGCCAGGCTCTCTTCAAGCTCTTTGTGCTGCGTGGCTATGAATTCGAGCTCCTGGTCGAGCACCTGCTGGTCGGTCTTCACCTTCTTCACGGCATCATTCAGCTCGACGATTTTCTGGTTATTACTGATGAGCAGTTTGTCCCAGGCGTTGATCTGCGTGGCCTGCTCGGTGAAGACCTTCTCCTGCTCCTCAAACTCCAGCGTCCACTTGTTGATGTGCTCCTCCAGCTGATTGTATGACAACTGGGAAGCTGTGGAGACGGCCGCCGAATCCGTAGTTTTGGTTTCGGTGGTCAGGTTGGCGAAGGCTCCGCCGGTGCCCAGTGATAGGGGAGCTCCGGTCCCGGCCAGCGGAGCTTTGGCCGCTGGTGCTGCTGTCAGAGTTGTTGGAGCAGCGGCTGTGCTCTTGGCGGCTCCCAATCCAATGCCGCCCAGTATTCCCGTTACGGGAGCAGCGCTGGTTGATGTGGTGGTAGCAGCAGATGGTGCTGCTGCCGCTGCCGGCTGAGCCATGAAGCCGCCAAAGGCAGGTGGAGCCGCTGCTGCTGCGGTCCCAAGTGTTGGTGCAGCTGTGGTACCTGGATTGGCTGCCGGCTGGGCGCCTCCCAGGGTCAGGGACGTGGAAGTGGCTCCCGTTAGTCCAAAGCCGCTAAATGGTGGCGGTGCCTGTGCCTTGGCAGTGTCCGCATCACCCCCACCAATATTGGTAGCCGCTGCTGGGGCACCGAAAGAGAACGATGGCGTTGTGGCGGGAACGGCGGAAGCTGGTGCAGGCGCTGCGGCTGCTGCGGGGGATCCGGTATTGAGGCCGAAGGAGAACGAGGGCACACCTGCCGCCGGAGCAGATGTAGTTGTGGGCAACTGGAATGCCATTGCTCAAGCTTCGCAGAAAATTAAATTAAAAATTAAACGAAGCACACGCCAAAGTTGACAGTGTGACCCCAAACTTCGCTTATTATTCGTCAGCTGTCAGTGTTGGAAGGCAGCCTTGCGGCATTAGCCATTTTCTAGCTAAAATATTTGACGTTGGCGGGTAAATTCAATTTATATAAAAGGCTAGAACATGTAGATTTATATGGATTCCTATGTTTGAGTTGTCTTAATTGATTGTTCTAATTGTGACCAAATATAATTGTTAACCCTTTATAAACTATATAAACTAAATATAGGGCTGTCTACTAAGCCAAAGTAGGAAATTGGTAATAAATCGGTATACTGTATTTAAAATAAAAAAATGATATTTTTACACATTTTTTACAAATTTAAAATATTTACAAATTGGTTAAGTTGTTTTTAAAAAATGTTCCATTGTTCCATAATTAATTTATAAGAATTTAAGTCGGTTATCTTTAAATATATGTTCTTAAAAAGACCTGAAATATTTGATATATAATATAAAATTTAGATTAATTTAATTTTAATTTAATTCTCTAAATTAATATGGTAATTTACCAATTATTTTGGGTACCGGCCATCAACACTGGTTCTATGGTATTTTTTAGCCTCAGATTGGATTTAACAGTTAGAACGCTGCCAATCCGCTAAGCGGTAAAATCAATTCAATTAAAACATAAACATCAAAGTGTTTGATTAAAATCAATAACAAACGCAACCACAGCGCTAATTTGTCACCTTTCGCTATCTGTAAGTGGAAACTGTGATAAGGCGACATTTGGGTCAAGAATTTAATTACCAAGCCAGAAGTGCAACGACACTTGGGTTTAGTAATTGCATTTGCTCACTCAGCAAAACAGTAAATATGTGCATGCATATGTACATACATACATGTATATTGTGGAGATAGTATTGCCTTATACATACATATGTACATCTGAGTACAGCAATGGAAAAGGTATCATCAAAATAGCTCATTAATTCCCACCTGGGTCTAGGTGTTACTCACCTTATTTTAAAACCCTTGCAGGGTATTATAATTTAAGCCACAAGCTTGCAACACAGTGAAGGAGTCATTTCCGACCTCATAAATCATATATATTCTTGATCAGAATCAATAGCAGAGTCGATCTAGCCATGTCCGAAAGAAACAAAAATTTAAAATTTTTTTCAAAATTTTATAAGGGGTTACATCGTTAAGATTTTCAAAAATTGGTAAAAAGTATCAAATTTTAAAAGTTTAAATACAGTATACAGATTTAATAACATATTAAAAACTAACATCGGAATGCTTTCCGACTTAAAATTTACGCATTTTTGGCTTAGTTATGATATTTTTAAACTTTGATTTTACAAAAAAAAAATTGCCATATAAAATCCTTGATAAATATGGAATCAAAAAACTCGAACATTCAAAGCTTACTTATGATTGATTTCCGATACGATCGTTTAATTTATTTGAAAACTGCAGAGGTATATTTAATTGGGCTTCCAGTAGTTTCTTTTCTTGTTAAATTAATTTTTTAACGTTTCCAAATATGTACCTTAGCTTGTTTCCTCGATTTGTAGACTAGTTTAACTGACAACCTGCGCCGCAATTGAACAACAAAAGCATATCAGAAAGCCGCTGTTCTCTGCTCCGCATGTTGGCCGTAGCCCGCCGCTCTTCTATATTTGCTCCCTGTGATCGCGGTGAACTTGGGATGATAAGAGGGACTGGGGCTCTCCTCCTGTAATCGAAAGCCTGCTGTTTGTTCCACCCGGCGAACACCAAATCAGTCGATGGGTGTGCTCCAATGCAATAGCAATTAGCCACTAACCTTCTGCCGGGTCTCCAGCTCCTCCCACTCTTGGTGTACTTCAGGTTCTGCCTACTCTTCCACCTTCTCGTGGCAAACAAAACTTATCTTGAGTGCCGCTTCGAGAACATATAAATTCCCTGGCTTCCCATAGGCCAGGATTCAGTTGGTGCTTGTGGCTCGCCATGTACGGAACAAGGAGCATCTTTCTGGGCGGCCTTTGCCTCCTCCTGCTGCTCCAGGTATTGCCTGTCGCCGTGGGTCTTGATAATGGTCTGGCGCTCAAGTGAGTAGAGATTTTTTAATTACTAAAAGATTGTTTTTTTCTAATTGAAACTCCTCCTCTCGATTACAGGCCACCTATGGGCTGGATGTCATGGGAACGGTGAGTATTTATAAAAAAATATATATAAATTTGTGTGATAATTTCTTAATATTCTTTATTTTATTAATAATTTTTAATCAATGATTGAGGTAGTGCCTTTACCTCATATATTAAAATATACAAAAATAGGCTAAAATAGCATTTTCTTTGATATATTAATTATGTATCCTGAATATTCTCTAAATTCTTCTAGCTTCCGCTGTATAACCGACTGCAAATTATATCCCAACGAGTGCATTAGGTGAAGCTTAATTAAACTTGATATTCAACTAAAAAATTCACTCACAAGTTCAAATTCCATTTCTTAGTGAAAATCTCTTCCGTCGTCATGCGGATCTTCTGGTATCCGAGGGCTATGCCGATGCTGGTTACGAATATGTCATCATCGACGACTGCTGGCTGGAGAAGAATCGTGACAACGATACCCAAAAGCTAGTGCCCGACAGGAAACGCTTTCCCAATGGCCTAAATAGCCTAGCTGATCATGTAACTAATCTATCTTGAACTCCTTAAACCTCCTATAATATCCTTTCATTCAGATCCATGACAAAGGACTCAAGTTTGGTTTGTACCAGGATTTTGGAACCAATACCTGCGCGGGTTATCCTGGTGTCATTAAACACATGCAGCTGGATGCCCAGACCTTTGCCGACTGGGATGTAGACTATGTAAAGCTAGATGGTTGTTATGCCAATTTAACCGACATGGTTAATGGATATCCAGAGTTTGGACGCCTTCTGAATGAAACTGGTCGTCCTATGGTCTACTCCTGCAGCTGGCCTGCCTACCAAGAGGAGGCCGGAGAGATGCCCGACTATGAGTCCCTCAAAAAACACTGTAATCTGTGGCGCAATTGGGACGATATCGACGATTCTCTGGAGTCTCTGATGCAGATCATAGATTATTTTGGCAAGAATCAGGACAGAATTCAGCCGCATGGCGGACCAGGACACTGGAACGATCCGGATATGCTGCTGCTGGGAAATTACGGTCTGAGCTACGATCAAAGCAAGCTCCAGATGGCCATTTGGGCCATTATGGCGGCGCCACTGATTATGTCCAATGATTTGGCCGAAGTGCGTCCAGAGATCAAGGCTATTCTGCAGAATCGGTTCGTAGAGCTTTCGAAAATTTATAAGAACTTCATTAAATAGGTTTATTATTGTTTTCAGAGATGTGATTGCAGTGGATCAGGATGAATTGGGCATCCAGGGACGTCGCGTTTTGACCCGCAACCTAATAGAGGTCTGGAAGCGACCCATTACACCAGTGACCAAGGGTGGCGAACACTCGTATGCCGTGGCCTTTGTGAGTCGTCGGGACGATGGTGCTCCCTACAGGATCCCATTCACAGTCAAGGATCTGGGCCTCAACAATGCCAAAGGATATAAGGTGCAGGATCTGTACTCTAGCCGCCAGCTGGGTGTCTACCAAACGGATTCCCAGTTCATCACCCGCGTCAATCCAAATGGTAAATGTCTCTTTGTGAGATTACGCTCAAGCTTCATGTTTTAATCTATTTTCCCCTTCTCATCATCTGCCCTAGGCGTAACTTTCTACAAGTTTACAGCGCTCTGATCTGTGTATATGCAAATCAGTTTTTGCCATCAAATCGAATAAGCCTATTTTATACGTTATTCCATCATGGATTATCTTCCCCACCTTCAAGATGAGCCGTCAGTTAAGTTAAAACTGATAAAGACAGGTAAATAAATAACTGAAAAGGTCCGTATTACTTTGACTTTTTGTTGATTTTTATTGTTCGTAAATCAATTGATTGTGTGTGTGCTTTACACACACGCACAGGTATAAGTATTGTACATTTATAGGCATAAATTGCAGTGTACCTACTACACTAGTTAAGACTTGTTCCATGGTATAAATAAGGTCTGACTGGATGAAAATATTGATTCGCAAGCTTGTATAAATAATAACAATAGGTGTAGTGTACTATATATGTGATTAGGACCCGTAGAATAAGAAGAAATAGAAGGGAAAGCGACCCCTGGGATCGTTATCATCATACCAGCTATAAATAGTTACCGTCTACATGGGTTTGGTCGAGAGAGAAAGAGGGAATTAGAGTTATTGTCAAGTTGGAAGGCGAAACCGGAACCAAACCAAGGACCCCATATAACCTAAGGTTAGTGCACTCCATTGCTGATGGTCGGCGTTCGCTCGTAGGTGCGCCTATGCAGCGCATCCACATCCTTCAGGTAGTAGGTGCCGGGGAACAAGGCGGAGATGCTGCCCGTTGGCGTATACGGTGCCGCATGGTTGTTCTTCTCCCGCACCTCCATCAGCGACGAGAACTGTTCCGGAGCCACTTTTTCGCGAGAGTTGAGCAGTGGCTGCACGTAGTCCAACTTCGAGACGAACTGCTCAAAGGCTGCCGCATCCTGAGTGACACTTATCGAGTACATGGATGCCGCCAGTCCGGATCCGTAGGAGAACACACCAATGCGTTTTCCCACCAAATCCTTGGCCGGCTCCCCGATTAGCAGGGACACCAGACCGGAGTACACCGATGGCGTGTACATATTGCCCACCTGGTTGGCCAGCAGCAGTGACTTCTTGGTCTTGCTGGCAAAGATCTCCGACGACTGCGTGAGGAAGGCCTTCTCCACGTCCCTGTCGAAGTAGGTACTCTCCAGCGTGGAGCTATTAAACCGCTCGAGACCGGGGAACTGCTTGGCTCGCTCCTCCTCGCTGCTCAGCAGGTAGTCGTTAAAGCTCAGGCGACCGACGGACTTCTGCACCAGCTTGCAGAAGGGCGTGTGGAACAGGATGGCATCGAAGTTATCCAAACTCCACTTCTTATTGGCATTCTCCTTCTGCTGGCCGAACTTCTTCCTGTACAGCCGGTAGCAGGTGTCCAAGGCGGAAAGGTAGCACTGAATGGACAGCTTGCCGTCCACCGTGGGATACTCCGAGCTGAGGTCCGGCTTGTAGAAGTCGTAGGCGTGCTCCATATGCGTGGCGCGTAGGCCACGATCGAAGACTAGCGGCGCATCGGGACCCACCAGCATAGCGATGGCTCCCGCTCCGCCTGTGGGACGCGCAGCGCCCTTGGCGTACACTGCAATATCAGCACACACGGCCAGGGCCAGGCGGCCATCCCAGCTGGAGGACTCCACCCAATTGACGGCATTGAACAGAGACGCCGTGCCGCCATAGCAGGCATTTGTGGTATCGATGCCCTCAATGTCCGTGTTCCCGCTCTCGGCGAACAGCTGCATCAGCACAGACTTGACCGACTTGGACTTGTCCACAATGGTCTCGGTACCGACTTCCAGTCGTCCGATCTCCGAGTGCTTTACGTGGTGCCGCTCCAGCAGTCGGCTCACAACCGTCAGGCAGAGTGAGTTGACATCCTCGCGGTCCGAACAGAATCCCATCTTGGCCTGGCCCAAACCAATTGTGTACTTGCCAGCGGAGGCGCCATCAAAGGTCTCCAGCTCCGTCTGGTCCACGTACTGGGAGGGGAAGAGCACCTCTATGGCGCGTATTCCAACGTTCTGGGGCCACTGGGATGCCATGATTGTTTATTGATTTAATCTAATAATCCTGAGCGCTGGAAATATTAAGAAAATTAGCTATAATTAACTATGAATTCTTGACTATAAAAAACAGTTTGTGTTAAGTTTTGAGTTTAATTTTCACTAAATGGTTTCCGTAATTGCACAAATTTCACGGAGATTTATTCGAAAGAGATTACTAACTAAGTGCAGCACTTTTCGTAATGGTTTTTTAAACAGAACTCATTTAATATCCCATTTGAACGATCGCGTTCTGAAAATTGTGGCCCGAATTCCACTGACGATTGGCATTGGGCAAACTTTCTCCCCGCGCAATCGCTGCGTATTTTGTCTGCTTACAAATTGGACGAGGGCAGAAGACAACCTGTTGCACGCTCGAGCTGCGTTGGACGTGTGGTAAGCCAGTGACTTTGAGTTGGTCTGAAGAAGTCATCAAAGTCGCGCCAGAGACAGAGGCGCCGCCTTGAGAAAAAGGGGGCCAAGTGATTTCCCCGCCGCAAAGGGGCTATATCCAAGCAGAGAGAGAGAGAGAGAGCGATCGGTGTAATAGCGGAGAAAGTTTCCCGCTCTGTCGAAGCTCACAAAGGAGAACCCAAAGTCGAACCAAAGCAAAGCATGAGCCCGAGCAAAGTAAACCAAAACACACGCATCATCCACAAATAAATGTAAGCCAAGACCGGAGACAAGCCCAGAAAACTGAGGGAACTGGCAGTGATGTGGAAGCTGCGATGGCTACACAACAAGAAATTAAAACGTAATACCACCCAAAGATGCTAATTATCAAGTTTTGGAAGAAATTATGCCAATTAATACTGTTAATTTGATATATTTTGCAAGGTTTTTGCCTTAATATTTTATTTGAAATGTACAATTTTTAAACAACCTATTCAACTTTATTTATTTAATTATCAAGAATAATTCTGTTGAACTTTTGCTGAAAATATATATAATATTCTTTACTATTTTTAGCACTTGAATATTTTATTTCTCTAAAGTTTTTAAAGTTTTTCAAAATATAAAACCCCTAAGTGGTTTGCTTACAGATATTTGTAATTGAAATTGGTTGCTATTATTAATCTCACAAGAAATTCACAAATTGGTACAGAAATTTGTTATAGTTTCCTATAAAATAGGGCAAGTTTTCGGAATTTTAAAGCTTTAAAACATATATTTAGGAATCCCATTTTCAATCCCTCGATAACCCTTTTAATTTCTTTCCGTGCATCATTGTGTAGACAGGTTGGGAGCGTCTCTTCTTCACCCAGATGTAGGTCATACCCACAAACCACTCTCGCTACGCCAATGCCCCCGTGTTACTGGGAGCATATTTTGCTCACTCCATGAACACGCGTCGTCTACATATTGTATAACTCTGATAAGAGTACGGCGGCACCCAAATCCAAAATTCAAACCCAAAAGGCGATTGACATGTTTACCGTTACTGTTAGCACCTGCGACGACCACGACGACGACGAAGACGGCCTATTGGCTTTTTGGTTTTCACTTTTTGGCCTTATTGTGCCGCGGGGAGTACTGGTTAGTGGGTTTTCGGGTATCGCGGGTTTCTACCGGAGCACCAAGCGCGAAGCTCACACGATCGAATCTCTCTGCGGACTGACGGCCATCGAGGCACTGCACTGGCATATGAATATGACCATGACGGTGGGGAATTGGCAGTGCCAGTGGAGAAGCCGCGAACGGCAAACAGAAGCGCCAATGGAGGCGCTGTAAGTCAATGCCAATTGCTGAAAGCGCGCGGCGAACAAATAGCGATCGTGCATAATTACGGGAAATATTTATCGCTTAGATACGGCCACCGAGCACAAGCCAACAAAATGTCTACACATTTGGGGCTAAGTCGGTTCAACTGATCGTATATCACTATATAGTTATAGATAGCCCCTGCTGCTGTTGCGATGGGCTAAAGATCAAAGGCTTCGGGCTGATAAGCTTTGACGAAACAAAGAGGTTTTACTGCAGATAATACTACCGAAAAGATAGGATATATGGCGTTTTTTTTTAAATGCACTTAAAAAAATGGAAAGCTTATTAGTTTTTAGCAAGAAAAAGTATTTGAAATTTAAACTATAAAACTAAAGCACTACAAGGTAAAACTATAACAAACTATGTATTTGGTTTTTATGTATTATGTATTTATTTTCATATTATTCATAAGGTCTTCAATATAGATGTCTAATAATGAAATTAATGAATGCAATATATTAACCTCTTTTCGAAATGCCTTTTCTATTTCATCATATCCTAACCTTTTGTGATAATTCAAACTATTTTCTTTAGGTGTCTTCATTTAAAAGTAAAACGAAAAACCCCGCTGCTCCCGAGTAGCCCCTTGGGTTAAGGTATGGAAATGGATGCACTGTTTATGCGGAAAGGAAAGAACAAAAGCGGGACCCCCGAACCGGAGGACGTGTACGGAAACTATTGTGGTTTTGTATGCTTATTTTTAGCACTTCGGAATTGGGAAATATTTCAGTAAACACACACGAGAGTACTGGAACTGTTGCGCACTTGGCTAATTGTTTGCTGTTGACTCATTGCCTTTTTCGGGCGAACCGAAGAGGGGCAATCGGAGGTGTAGGGGTAGGCGCTGGGAGGCCAAAGGTCGTGCTCCCGAAAGACACACACGTGTAGTATATGGGAATCGGGAACCGGTGCGATTAGCAAGCCTTTAAGAGAGCATAGATTACGAAACCCGGCTGCATAAAATCTGGAAACAGATGGAGAAGTCGTGACCGAAAGCCGTTATTTGTCCGAGAGAGGCGGGAACAGCTGGACAAGTAAATTATTCCTTAATTGCCATGACTTATCCCAATGCCACGGTAATTCTATTCCCCAATCAGGCGACTTCTGGTTACATCAGCGGCCATTCTGTTGACTGGCTGCGCAAACCGCAGCCCTCCATGGGGACACGTTTCCATGCAGAACACTTCACTCACTCACTTGCTAATATTAGTGGTCCAGGGCGGGCGATATGTTTTAAACTAAACTAATCTCCAAAATAATTAGGCGAAGAAACTGCGGCACCTTAGCCGGGCAGTGTAGGTAAGCGCCGCCACCAAAACAGCTGTTCGCGGTATAAGAAATAGTATTAGAGATATTAAATAGCGAAAAATACCAAAACATCGATAGAAAAGCTACCAAAAAGAATCGATAGTACGTATCGATGTTGAAGTCGACTTTCTCCCATCGCTATTTTATCACGTGAATTGCAATTGTGGGTGGCGGCGGTCGTCTTGCTGATTTTTAGCACAAAAAAAACACAGTTCGCTGTTTTTAAATAGCAGAAAAAGCACACCAGTGTCGTTCCAATCAACCAGAGCCGCTAAAAAGTAAGTGCCCGCCGGCTAATCGGCAGTTTTTCCACCTCTTCCCCGAGAAAAGTGAAAAGTGACATATTGAGAAAAAAAAAATCCACATAACTGCATCGCAGTAGGTCTGCTGACCCAGCGACTGTGCAATCAATGTTTTATAATTGACCGAAAAGTGTGTGCAAATGCGTTTTGCAAAGTGTCTACGTGATATTATTGACCCTGAAAATTGAGTTCTGCGAGCGCGGAGCACTCCAACTTGGCAAAGTGCAGCATCTGGCGGTGGGAATCATGCCGATGAGGATGCGGATATATCTGGAAATATCCAGGTGGTGGTGAAGTAGAGGGAAGGGTGCGGGCTTGGAAAATATGTGAAAAGTGTTTTGGTTTTTGTGCTGAAACCCCGTGAGCAGAAAATTATCGATCGAAAACTGTCATGTGACTGTCACCGAACAGCTGACAGGCTGAAACTCTCCACTGCCAGAGAGCCATCTCACTCTCTGGGTCTCCACAGCTACCCCTCTCGCTCGCACTCACAGTCTTCCGCTCTGGGTAAACAAAATAAATAAGTTGAAAATTCTTCTTTGAAAATTTAAACATTTTCCGCTCAGTTGAAACAAAGCACGTTCCGGACATACAGCGATGATGAATGGTTAATGCTGTGCAAACCATCAAATACAAGTATCCACATTTGTTTAGAGCAGCGGCGGCACAAGGACCCATAATAAATAGTTGTATTGCGTGCAACAAGGACCTTGGTGAAAGCTGACCACATATTTATTTAGAGGCGAAAGTCAAACATGGCCAATACATGCGGCCAATAGAGCTCACTCAAATGGCCAAGAACCCCGAACAGCTGCTGGAATTCCAGCGCGTGCTTATCTGCGGGTCTCCAGCTCCTGCTGCTGGTGTGCTGCTGCTGCTGCTCCGACCCCCGGATAGCACATTATTATTAATTAATTTGGGCGCACACCCACTGTGGCCAAGGCTTGTGGTCCTATCTGCGACCCACCATAGCTTTCCTTTGTTTCCCTTTTATTGTTTTGTCTTTCTCAGTGTTTTCGTCATTGCAATTTCCTGTATTGGCTCCGGACTACCCCAACTCGAGACCAGGAATCGGGATCAGGACATTGGCGGGGCCCACACCATTAGCGACAGCCGTTGGCCAGTCAGACTGTCTCCACTTGTTTGGCGACGCCTTGGCTGGAGCCCTCCGCTCCGCTCCTCTCAGTCCTACTCCGGCTTTCGGTCGCCGCTGCCTGTGTTTTCTTTTTTTTTCGATTCGACTGGGCCAATCCACGTCACCATTCTAGCCTGGCAGCATAACATTTACTCCTCCTCCTGGTGGTGCTCCTCCTCCTTCTATCTCTCTTTCACTTTCCCCGCCCTTTCGATTCCCCCGAAGCAATTAAGCTTTTGTAGCTAAAAATAAACATACGTAGTGTTTGCACTGAGAGAAAATGTATAAAATGCAGTGTCACTTCTAAGCTTATTATATTAGTTTTGAATTTTACATTTTAACCTTTTATATTTATTGGTAAAAACAATAATAACAATAACAAGTGCATTATTATTAAAGAACATCTTGCTTTTCTACTGTTTTAATATATATTTTTATTTATCTTCAAATCTCTCTACCTCCCAGAAGATAAATTAAGAAAAAAAATTTCATTTTAATAGATTAAAGTACTTACACAACACAGATAGTGATAGTTAAATATTTTACGTGTAATAATATTAGTTATAAAGATAACTGAGTTCTAAAACGTCGCAGTTAAACCATCTAGTATTTGTGAAAAGTAACTTATTTGCATATATTTTTATCAAATAATGTAATGTAATGTAAAGATAATGAGTAGTGACGCTGTTTTGGGATATCTTTATGAGATAATATATAATGATTTGCATATTTGTAAATGTCCATTGAAACAGATTTAACAAGAGTGTAATATTCCCAATATTATTGATAATGAATCTATGTCATAATTATGCAACTTCCTTTCTCTCTCTCTCACCTCTGATATGATATCATTTATATGTAGGTTTACGCCAACCAATTTTGTTAATATCATTTTTTCTGTGCGTGTTTCCGTTTCCCATTTACCATTGCCTGGTTGTCTGTTGCCAGGATTGTTGCTCCCAGCGCCCCTTTTCTTCTGATAATCGTTGTTGCTCCTGACGCTTCCTGGGCGAGGACAATGCACTGCCTTGACTTCTGAGGGGCGGACTTGGCAGAGCTGGAAGCAACTCCAGAGCTGGCCCTGTTGTCACTCCTTGAGCTCGTGTTGTGTTTTCGTGTCTCTTTCTGAAGGCCGCCATCGTGGAGGTTATGTAATAACAGCCTAACCATAGGCCCGAATTGGGTAAAGTTAGATTTATATCTCGTGGCGTTTGCTGTGTGATTACTCATACGCCCTGTGGCAGGAGCAAACAAAGCCGGGGCCGAGCAGAAGGAGGTAAAGGAGTCCAGGAGTCAGCGACACTTACCCAAATTGAGCACTCGTTTTGGTTTTTGGCCCTGGCGCCTTTCGTTGCTTCGTCATCAAGTGGTTTTTTTCGGATACGGTCGGATCGCGACCACTTCGGCTCCTCGGCCTGCCGACTTTCCGAGTATCCGACTTTCATGGCATCTGGTCGTTATGCCAGCACTCATTTCGATTTGAAACGCCGACCGAGAACCACGGAAATGTGGCGGCACTACGAGTAGGAATACGGAAAATATACAAACGGAGTAGAGGAATACCCCAACAACAGCGGCGGTGAAGGGGAAATAAAATGCCAAAAAACTTGGTGGAAAAGTTCCTGACCATTCTGTTGAGACGCAAGGAGTGCTAGGATCAAGTGTTTGTGTAAGCACGCCAAGGATATAATATGTGTACATGTGTATTTAGAAGCATAGAGACACTCTGGCGCTGGACAAACTGGCGCCAGAGTTCAGGGGCTGTAATGCCTGACATTGGGTACGCTCTCCTTTGTCCGTGAAAATGGCAAATTTCCATTGGTCGATCGCAAAAAAAAAAAACACTAAATATTGACCGAAGGCCAGTGGCAATTAAATTTTCATCGCCGGAAACTTTGAAGACATGCGATGGGGGGAGGTGATACTTACATAATTTACAAGGGGGGACGGGCAATCGATTAGCCAAGGTCACAGTCAAATTGGTTCACTCACCCACCCATTGTCTCTCTGTTCGCCCCCTCAATAGCCATCAAGATGATGTCCGAATACTGGATTATCTCTGCGCCGGGCGACAAGACCTGCCAGCAGACGTACGACACCATGAACAACCTGACCAGCAAGCAACACAATCTGTGCAATAACTACAAGTTCCATATACCAGACCTGAAGGTGAGTTAGCTCTATATAAGCCATAGAACTTTTTGCTAATCATTATGTATGGTTTTAGGTCGGCACCCTGGACCAACTGGTGGGCCTGTCCGATGATCTGGGAAAGCTGGACACGTATGTGGAGCAGATCACCCGCAAGGTGGCCAACTACTTGGGCGAGGTGCTGGAGGATCAGCGGGACAAGCTCCATGAGAACCTGATGGCCAACAACAGTAAGTCGTCTGCCTGCCACTAATAAGTTGTATTAGCTTAGCTTATAGTCTAGCTTAGCTTAGTTCCGTTTAGTTTAGTTTAGTTTTGGTTAGGTGATGCCTGTTCCGAGTCACGAATCTATATCGTTTTAGTTCTTTAGTTACTATATACATATACATATTTCTAAGCAGTTCTTCTGACCGTAGACACTGTTGAATCGGAATGCTGCTCTGATATAATCGTACCATGTGTATTGCCCACATCTACTATTGTTTATCCACGACTGTTTTGTACTAACTAACAACAAAAAGGAAAGAAAAAGCAATCATTGAGAGATTACCCGAAACCGGTGGGGTAGCCCCTTTTCCTCAGAACTCGGTTACTCTGTGGAATGTTTTCAATCTACCATATCTATGTCCTCTCCCTCTGAGATGCGCCCTACAACTAACACGAATCCCGTCACATTCCCTATATATAATATTTAGTAGTTTCAAAAGTACTTTGCGAAGCGAGAAACAGATTTAAAAACTAATCGATTTTCAGCCGAAATCCTCTCAGGCTTTACATTATCTATTCCTTTCCAAGTTTCAAAAAGCCTTTTTCGTTATTTTCTCTTAATTTTATTATTTACTATCTCTTGAGTTGAGGTTCCTTTTTTCAATTTTCTGTTTTGAACTCATGCGCACAATCATCACCACAGAAATGAGGGATATTGAAGGATATTCCCTTGGGGAAACAATGTAGTTTGAAAATGGTCTGAAAGATATACTGCAACAACAATGGAATTAAAGTTTACGGCAAACTATAAAGCTATTAATTTAGCGGGAACGAAATTGCAATTAAAACAATGAAAAGGAAAAGAAATTATGGAAATGGCCGAATGGCAATTTGCGTTGTTTATTTTGTGTTGCGTTTGTTGTACATTTTAATACGCACCGACCTCTCACACGCTATAAAGATCTCAAAGATCTACAGAAATACAGATACACACAATCACACACACTATATTTTTGGCCCCAGTCAAGGGCGCCCCCGAATCCCCGGTCAATTACTCCGTGTTCGGTCTAAGGTCGCCCCCAAACAATACAAAAGATACAAAAGAAACTAAGAGATACTCTTCTGACACACTCACACACACACACACCGTACACGAGGAGAAGTACAGTGAACACTTTGTATATTTTACATATATTGTTGTACGTTTCTTTTCGGTTTGTTGGATACAATTGAGTTGGACAAATTATTTGTGGTTTTCCGTCATTTGAAAGCCCATTAGTTTTTAAATCATTCACCGCAAGAAAATAGAACGAGAACGAGAAGAAAAAAACTGAGACGAAAATGCGAACGGAGGAAAGCTTATGTGTAAAGATATATAGAGACCCATAAATTGCATATACTCGTACTATATAAACATATAAATATATATATACTCTTGACTATGACTTTTTGCGCGAGTGTCGTCGTTGTTCCCTCATACTTATTTATCTTTTAATTTTTATTTCGAGTTTACATGTAACTATTATTTGTATAAAAATAACAATATGTACTGTACATACATATTATCCTCTCTCTATCTCTATATATATATATATATAGACTGTTGTAACTACATATTGTGTGTGTGCCTGATTGTGTGTGTGTGCGTGCGTATCTGTGTTGTCTCATTTTATACTCTCACCTGCATCGATCCGCTTGGAAAAACGCTTATTTCTGTTACATTTTCATCCAGCAAAGCTCACTCACACCACATGCACACCATAGCCAGGCTAGGAGATGCATTCTCCTGGAGTTTCCCCGGAAAAGCCTGTCACTTGATGGGTGTGGGTGTGCTTGTGTTTGGATGGAAATGAGTGGGAGTGTGTGTCTGTGTATGTGCACCTGTTCTCATGCGCTTTTCACACGAAAAACCATCACATTTCGCTAATTGGGTAAGATGGGGAGATACATTGCAATTAGAGCTAATTGGAAAAACGTATGGAAAAACAACAGCAACAACAACGAAACGCTTTTACACTGCAACTAAGAAATTACCTACATACCTACCGAAAATATCCAAATGAAAGCACAAAATGAGACGCAAACATCTATCTATCTTTATCAGCCATGGAATCACAGAGTTCCCTCTCGATAATACATACTATATATTTTGTTCCACTGTTGTTCATGGGATGCCATTCAGTTCTCCTGGATTCAGATAATCCCCATTGCACTCACACACATTCCAAAGCCAAAGAAGATCCAGATCCAGAAAGTAATTTAACCCCCCGCACACATGAGTATCAAATTTCTTACATTTTCCCCACATATGATTTTCGTTCTTTTGTTTTTAAAATATTTATAAAAAAAAGATGAGTATCTTTTTGGTTTCGCTTTCGGTTGACAACAATGTTTGATCAGGATGATGATGATGATGAGCAGTTCGATTTTAGAGCTCTGTCTAGGTAAATCGGTTAGGACTAGCCCATATATGTATGCTATATAGTTTTACTTTTAATTTATTTCGACCCCCTGAGAACCTGCGGGACAGCGAAAATCGAACTGAAAAACAAACTAAGACCTAAGCCTTGTGTTGTATTGTCTGTATCGGAAACTCGTAACTCCAATTCCAACTCCATCTCAAATCGAACCCTGTGCCCGCCTGATCGCCCGATCGAACCTGAACCTGAACCTGAACATCCAACTGAAATGAATCGTAAACCGAACCTGGTGCCGATGCAGGTCCTGGGCCACCTGACGACAGCATGCCGTGTCGCCACCACCAGCGCATCAAGCATCTCAGCCTGCGACACCAGCGAAAACACCAGCACACGCACCACCAAAACAAACCCCAACACTACCATCACCACCACCATCACCAGCTGCCCCAGGATCTCAAGGGTAAATCCGCGCCATCGTCACAGACAACAGCCTGTTCCCCTGCCACTCCTCCGCCCCCTAATCTTCCGCCGCCAACGCCTGCCTGTGCCTGTATTTCCGCCGATGCCCTAGCTCCCGGACACGGACACGGATCCGTATCTGGCGGCAGCCTGACTAACCTATCGTCGAGCCACGACCCGGAGCCGGAGTTTGATGCCTGTCCGTGCGATGAGTGCTTCGCCTGCGCCCCGCCCAGCACCAGCGCCACGGCCAGCACGCTCCTGGCGGACGAGTGCTACTCACAGACCGCCTCCTCCATGCTGAGTGCTACCCGCTGTGCCCTGTCAACGGTGGCAGCGATAGCCACGGGCAGTGGTTTGGGCAGCGGACCCAGTACCAGTGCCGCGGCAGCGGCAGCCTCAACTGGTGGCGTGGCCTCCTCCTCCGCCTGCTCCTCGGCCTACTTCTCCACGTCGGCGCCAACGACCAGCAGCTCGGTGCACAGCAGCATGTCGCGATCTAACAGCAAGCGGCTGAATAACAACACTTGCAGCATCAACAATAACAAGCTCAGCTTCCGCAGCGGCAGCCACGTGAGCCAGCTGCACCTGCCCACGCATCAGCAGCATCAGTCGCATCATCAGCTGCATCATCCTCCGCCTCCAGGGCACCTTCACTCCCATCCGAATCCGCTGCAATCGCCCACGCAAAAGTCCGTGTCGGAGGACGAGGGCGATGTGACGGTTCCCGATGATGGGGAGACGGACGGCGAGGACCCCAAGAGTCCGAACAGTGTGCAGTCCGATCTGTCGGATACCTTCGACTGGTGGTTCAATAAGCCCAAGCGTAACTCTAAGAAGAGCAGGTATCTTATCATCGCATTACCTACTTTGTAGAACGTTGCCAAATCGCCAGCACCCCAGATATACAAACATAAAAAAAAACTGAAAAAAAAACAAAAACAAAATAACTAAAAGCCAGTCACCCGCTGTCATCCCGCTAAGCTAGCCAACAAAGCCACACCCCAAAAACAGAAAGCAAAAAACACCACACTAAACACTGCTGTAAAAACACAAGATACAACAACACCACACAAACAACACTGAAACAATGGTGCACCCGCTTTGCCTGCTCTCATCCAAAATTACCCACATAAGTACACCACACCAGTAAAACAAAAGTCCTGAAAGTCCATAAATGTTTGAGTTGATTAAGAACCGAAAACCGAACCAAATGCAATAATAATGTATTTCTTTTTTTAAATCACTCCCCATCGACAATCGCACATTTGCCACCCGCTCACCAAAACACCAATGCGCAAATTCACCAATCCATAACGACAGTGCACAACGCAATACAGAAACACCACAGTCACAACAACACACGCCACAAGGACACCAACAGACGGCACAGCAACAGCCAACGACAACACACCAACAGATACCACTATACCAACAGACACCACAACAACACCTATCCAAAGCAATGACATTTTGGCATCAAGCATCGACCACACCGCGCTCTAGTTATCGCTCTTTCTTCAATTCTCTTGCCGATCAAATTTATAGCAAACGTTCTACACCGAGTCAATTAAATATAAACAATGGATTTAATTTAACACCAACACATAGATCGTCTCCAGTGAGTAGTTGTTGTGGCAGTAGTAGCCAGGGGCGATCCAGTCCGGACACGGATCCCGCCGAGCCGCCCGAGTTTCCGCTGAGTCCAGGTTAGCATGCCTGGGTTGGTCCACGACCCGACACTCTTTGCAGATCGCGATCTCCGGATCGTGATCGACGTTGACATATACCTACTATAAGTGTATGTACATGTTGATGTTGCCGTTGCTCTCCTCCGTTCCTTCCGTTTCGTTTCATTTCGTTTTACTTTCTGATTTTCCAATTATTGTTTTCCCGAGCAACTTGATGTGTTACCCACCAACCACCAACCACCACCGCTCACTCTCTCTCTCTCCACTCACTTTCTTTGACGTCGTCCACTACCGGAAGTGAATTGCAGAGGACTCTTTCTTTCCTATCTTTTTGTTGAAGCAACTATTTAGCCAAGTGATCGTTTCGAAGTTCTCCTACTTTCGCCACTTTTGATTTGCCTTTCATTCTCCTTTTTCTCTCTGTACCATATATATATATATACTTTATATTCGATATATATATATTTGCAAACGCCTTTTGTTTGCGCTTCGTTTTGCTTTCTCGCGATATTTCGATTTGAATCTATGATATATGTATAGAAAAAGCCACACACGGATCCGTTGATTATTTGTACCAGTGTAAAAGTGTAAAAGCGATTATGTTGTTCTTTCAGTGTACGCTCACCACCAAAAATCACCAACCAAATGTTGTTCTGCGCTCCACATCATTACAGCCACGATTAACGCCGATTCCCATTAAGCTATATCTGCTATATATCTCACCCAACCAATCACCAATAAAAAATATATAAATGAAAGCCGCTTTGCCCAGCGCCAAATGAGTTACTGTGTTTGCTTTGTTCGCATTTTTATTTTCCCTTTGAGTGTCTATATAGAGTATCTATAATTATCACACACAGCATTATGTTTTGAAAGTCCAGCTAAAGTGTTCTGCCGTGTGACACGAAAGGTATTTCCAATTGCGACTAATATGCATAGTCCCAATCTCCCCTAATCTCCTGTAGACTATGTATTTGCATCCCAAATTTGTTACTTTTTCTAATCTTAAAAACCTAATATATCCTGTGTGTAAGCGTGTGTGTGTCTGAGTAATCCTTTATATATATATAAATATTTACATGTAATGTTATGTGAAAAACTAACCAGCATTTTTCAGTTACCTTCAGTTACTTTTTTGTACGACTTATATGATTTATATCAGCTTCCCAGCCTATAGTTTCTTCCAACTAATTCTATTCAACTTTAAAATCAATTACTATGTATTCTTTTCGATTTCGTTTTGTACTTACTTAAACATTAATGGGAACCACAACCTGTTTGTGGTCCTGCTAGCCAACTAAGTCAAATATCTCAAACGACACATTTTGCCCAACGGACTTGACTAACAATATATTCTTCGATTTTATATAGCCGAACTGCCGCAGTACTTGACCCGCTTCCAATGGGATATGGCCAAGTACCCGATCAAGCAGTCGTTGCGCAATATTGCCGACATTATTTCCAAGCAGATTGGCCAGATCGATGGCGATCTGAAGACCAAGTCGCAGGCCTACAACAACCTCAAGGGAAACCTGCAGAACCTGGAAAAGAAGAAGACGTAAGTGTATTCCATCACACTTACGTCGTAATATATATTCGTAATATATATATTTAATACATCTTTATTTCCCTCATAACAGTGGCAGCTTGCTGACCAGGAATCTGGCTGATTTGGTCAAGAAGGAGCACTTCATCCTGGACTCGGAGTACCTGACCACTCTTCTGGTCATCGTGCCCAAGTGAGTTTTATAGTTAAATATTACTTTTCCAGTATTAAATTATTAATTTCTTACACATTAAAAAAGGGTCATGGCCAACGACTGGCTGACCAACTACGAGAAGATCACGGACATGATCGTGCCCCGCTCCACGCAGCTCATCCAGGAGGATAGCGACTACTGTCTGTTCAATGTGACGCTCTTCAAGAAGGTGGCCGAGGAGTTCAAGCTGCATGCCCGTGAGCGCAAGTTCATTGTACGTGACTTTGTCTACAACGAGGAGGAGCTGGCCGCCGGCAAGAGCGAGATGACCAAGCTGATGACAGACAAGAAGAAGCAGTTTGTAAGTAGCTCATTGGGTAGATTTTGTCAGCGGGAAAGATATAATAATCAATATTGGATTACAGGGTCCCCTGGTGCGTTGGTTGAAGGTCAACTTCAGCGAGGCTTTCTGCGCCTTGATCCACGTGAAGGCTCTGCGCGTTTTCGTGGAATCTGTGCTGAGGTAAGCTTCACGATTTTCCAAGAGGTCTAGCAGTTACTAATCATTCCATAAACAACAGATACGGTCTGCCCGTCAACTTCCAGGCCATCTTGATCGAACCCAATAAGAAGAGCGTGAAGCGTCTGCGTGATGTGCTCAACCAGCTCTACGGCCATTTGGATGGCGCCTCCGCCTGTGGTCAAGTCAGCAGTGCTGATGTCGGTTTACCTTTAATTGCAACCCGAAATTGCTTCAAAATTAATATATTTTCCCTTATTTTATTAAACAGAACGTGGACATCCCCGGCCTGGGCTTCGGTCAGTCCGAATACTATCCCTATGTGTTCTACAAAGTCAATATCGACATGGTGGAGCAGGCCAAGATCTAAAGCCCCCAACATCGCATAAACATCCTAGCATCCAGCCACACAAAATATACTTTACTCTACAGAGAAACCAACTTAAAATCAGCTGAACCATTCGCAGACATCAAATGAAACAAAATTAATAGATTACTTTAAATAATTTTAGTCATTGTTATCTAATTATTGTTGTTATTTATGTTGCGCGTTGCCGTTAAATTCTGTTTTAACTTACGGTTCGCGCGTCAACAAACCGAAACAAGTCAAGAAAACGTTTGCAATTATCCCCCGAACTTTCCCTAATTGTGCTTTGTCCCTCTTCAGTTTGCTAAACAGTATTTTATGTTGTTCTTTATGCCTTATGATGAATGATGAACAGAATGTTTAACCCGTAGCCAAATTTACACACATTACACACACACACACACATTGTCCTGTCGCTGAAGCCCCCTGGCTTTAATTCTCCATTTTTGTTTGTTTTTTGGTAGCTATACAAATAAACATTTGAGTTACATTTCGTTTTAAAAAGAACACTTTCGTCTCGTTTCGTGCTTGGTATCCTGTATCCGTTTCCGTGACTAACCACCAACGATATACTAAAAGAAACATGTCCAAAATAAATTTAAGATGGTGTCGCAAACTTTTGCTAACGTTTCGAGTAAAGACAAACACAATTAATTAACGCAAGTATTGTATTTATAAATGTTGCCTAGAAAAATCGAAACCTGCTCGCTGTCTTTGCATACTAACTCTAACGATCCCATATGCGCTGAGGAGAATCTGCCGAGCATTTTGTGGTTCTGCTAGCTTGCTTTACCCTGGCGCAAGAAGTGGAGATGGAGAAGTGAACAATAATATTCTATTCGTATGTAAAGTTTTTTTCAGTTTGTGAGAGAGATACAGTATCTACCTATATATATAAATATTTTAAAGTTATGCATACTATGTGTAAAAACGAATGAAACGAAAGAAACCCTGTAAATGTCATTGCGTTCTATATAAGGTGCAATTAAGCCATCCTTGTAAATAATTATAAAGAAAGAAAGACATTCCCAATTTGTTGTTTTGTTGTCAATTCTGGTTTCGCTTTTATTTATCCATACTCTTAGTTTACATTTAAATTACCAAATGTGTGGGTTTTGAACGGATTTGATGGTCTTAAACATTAAACTAAATGTATATTTAGAACAAAAATAATTAAAATAATAAGTTAGGTTTTATAAGGGGACAATTACAAAATTTATATAAGATCAAAATCCGTGCGAGGGAGAACCTATGAAGGGCTACATCTCCTGCTTGGAAATTTTGGTGTGCGCGGAGGCATTCCGTGAAATCTTCAGGATGTTCGGTGGCTTCGGCTGGTTCTTGTCCGCCTCGTATTGGGCGCGATGCAGGCGCTGGCGATGTTTGTACATGTTGGCGCTGCAGAAGAAAGTCATCGGGCAGTTGGGACATGTGTAGAGTACTTCACCGGTATGGGTGGACGTGTGTTCCTGGGGGAGAAAAAGAGGTTACAATCTTCAATTAAATTGGGTTTCCTCTATCTACCTTCAGTTCTTGTGGCCGCTTGAAGGCCTTCTCGCACATGGTGCACTTGAACTTGCGCTCGCACTCGTGGTTGTGATAGATGTGACGCCTTAGGGCCCGAGCATTCGGCGACACCTTGGCGCAGATGTGGCAACGATGTTCTCCCACGCTCTCCACATGGATGCTCTTCATGTGCTGCTTCAGTCCCGTCATGCCCTTCAGCCAAGCTCCGCAGATCTGGCATTGCTTCAGCTCCGGCTCCGGGCGCGGCTTGTCTGAGTGCATTAGCTCCTGGTGCTTCTTCAGGATGATCTTCGTGCGCATCTGCTTTCCGCACTTGTCACAGATGATGGTGCTCTCTGGATCATGCATGGAGCTCATGTGGTTCTTCAGCTTACGCTCAGTAAGGAATCTATTGGACAAAGGTAAGTCTTCGAGTCTTTATAAACGTTTAAAATTATACCTACTTCTTATTGCACTCGGAACAGGTGAATTTGAACTCAGACTTGGGCACGTGCTTGTTCAGCTTGTGGTAGTCAATGGCCGTCTTGCTGAGGAAGGTCTTCGAGCACAGGTCGCAGCTGAAGGTAAGCTTGATGGCCGGATCCAGGTGCACCTGCTGGTGAGACTCCAGATGCCGCGAGTTTTGGAACGACTTCTCACACACGCTGCACTTGAAGTAATCCGGGTTCCAGTGGACTTGCACGTGCTCGGCCAGCACCTTGCGCTGCGTGAACTTTCGGCCGCAGCACATCATGTAACCGGGATCCACCTGGTGGGTTAGTCGGTGATGGCGCTGCATCTCGGTGAAGTTGTGCACCATCAGATTGCACAGCGGACACGGCAGAATGCTGGTAAAGAACTTGGCAATAATGGTGTCGTACTCCTCCTGCTGCTTTTTGCGCTGCTCCAGCAGCTCGCGGGACATGCGCACCTTCGGCTCCGCCGGTTTCGTGCGTTTCTTGTACTTCTTTGGACGCACCACCGTTCTTTTCGGCAGCACAGCGAACTCCTGCTTCCCCTCTTTGTCCAGCTCGAAGTCCGAATCGGAATCGAAGCCTCCCCCACTGCCTCCGTAGTTGTCGTCCTCAGATGAGTTATCGCTGGGCACCAGGCCATCGTCCAAGTTGCAGGAGAAATCAGGGTCTTCGTCGGCAAAATCTTCCACTTCTTCGGACTTTAGATGGAGTTCAATGTCTTCTTTTGGTTTTTGAGGAGCGGCCGTGGCGGAGTCTGCTTTTCGGGGACGTCCACGTCGCTTTTTGGGCGGTGATGGCTCCACAGGCTCCTCTATTACCTCAGGGTCTGCTAAGGAACCTTCCTCGGCCTTCAAGCGCTTCCTCAGGCGTCTTTGTGGGGCTTCCAAATGGTCTTGTGTGGACTGTGAGTTAGCCGTGCTCTCAAGGATTTCTATTCGTGGCAAGTGGTCCAGTTCGTGCTCTTCTATTTTTACCTCCGGGTAGAAGAAGTTCCGCCCACCAAGTTCTGCCGTCTCCTGCAAAGGCTGCACTTCCTCGGTGGCCACTTTGGCGGTTTCAGGCAAGAAGGTTGAAGTGCCTTGGGTAAGCGGATCATCCTCCATGAGCAGTACTTTCGTTTCCTGCAAAGAGTTTTGTGCCTGGCTTACGAATTCGTGCAGTGTGTGGAAGTCAGAAACGGTTTTCCAGCAGCGCCCGCAGATCCTTTCGCGACTCTCCTCGGAGATCTGGAAGGGGAAGTGCTGGTTGACGATCCTGGCCACATCCAGTTGCTGCGCCCTGGCGGACTGCACGTCTATGTAGTCGCCCATCATCGCTGGATACTCGCACATGCAGAGTAAGCAGCAGGAAGTTGAATCTATTGTTAAATATTTAAATGTTACAATGTGGCATCATAGGGTGGGAGTAGCACTCCTCTTGGCTTCGCGGGCTGCCTCTCAGCATCCGCACAGTCTTACCCATTCTGATGCTTGGTCCGGGTTATAAGAGCTTGCTAGCCATCTAAAGATTTCTGTATAAAATGCACTTTTTTATTTACTAATTTGTTAAAAGCCGCAGTTGCACTTAGGACGCCAGCTGTTTTCGGTCACAATAGCATCGATAAGCGATTACGATAACCATACTGTGTATTCTCCAACCTATACAAACTGGTCACACTACACTGCGATTTTGGTTGATGTTTTGTTATTATAAACCATTTTCAATAAAAATAAAGCAGTAATCAAAAACACATACAGTTCCTGTGCATTGTCAGCTATAAGAAAACAACCTTCTACCCGAGAAACAATACTCCTCGAGGTAAGCTTTTATTATATGGTAACCAGCGACAAGTGAATGTTTGTTTACATATTTGTTTTCTTATTTTTAGCCGATTCTACTATTATTAATAAGAAGCTAAGTGAAGTTTATTCGAAATGGAACCACGGGAAACCATTCTATACACACCAGAAGAGATTGTCGAGCAAACGGAGTGTCCCGCCTGTGGAATAAATATGACCTCCATGAAAAAGCCCTTTAGCCACGCCAAGAAATGCTTCAGCATCAGGCGACCGGGTCCTGTGTACAGGATTTTCGGCTACGTGGAGTGCCAATGTGGTTTGCTCATTCATGACGGATCAAAAGCTCAAAAACTACATATTTGCGTGGTAGACAATGTCTCAAAGATTGATGTTTCACAATACTAATATAATTTTCAATTATAGGGTAAAATTCCCCCGTATGATCCTCGTGTGCAGAAGTCTGCCTCCCCGCCAACTATTGTGCCACTGCCACCGGAACCAGAGCCCGCGCCAGCGAAACTGGAGCCTGTACAGCTACTCAACCACAAGACCCCGCAACCACAGAGAAAAAAGTGGATACGCAACTTTACCTCTCCCATCAAGCAGGAACTAGATGATATTAAATCGGTGGCGCTGCCCCGCGTTCATAAACCTAAACTCAAATCCGTCACGAGAGTTCGCAACTTCGACATGCCATCCAGAGCTCCATCGAACGAAGTCAGTGTTTATTCCATAATTCGAGAGGATGAATCTATCTCGATTACGGGCGGATTACTTCGAAGAGTTAACCACGGAACTAAGGAGAACATCTTTATCAAAAAGCATTCCTTGCGACTTCCAGCGATAAAGAAAAGCTGAAAATCATGAACTGAAACTAAAATTAAAGCATCTAAATTTTAGGCTTAAAGAAAATCGGGTTAAGGCTTATCCTCACCTTTGATTATCGAAAAACAATACTAATTAGTATAGTTTTAATCTCGATTCCAAAAAATATGGGGAAACGGCCCTAAACAAGTACATATACTATTTACCTAATGTTTTCTATTAATAATATTTCTGTAATTAAAATTCAAAATATGTATTTTGTATGTATATGCTTGTTTTTCCATGCTTATCATCATGGAAATAATTAATTACATATATTATAATATAACATTTTTTAGACATTTTAAAAAGTAAACTCCATTCACTAAAATATATACTAAACATTAGTGTCAAACCGGAAGAAAATGAAAGCCACCTGGTCACACTTGCACCGCAAGCAAAACAACAATCCACGTAAAAAGGTTCAATTCGACGGCGATTATTTATAATTATACGGATGTCAACTGCCAGGAACCAAGAATATGACTGCACCACGAAGTGCAGACACCGCCAGCATGGCAACAGCATCACAGCGGCGCTAACGAAGCGTTCAATCGACAACCAGAAGCTGGCGGCATTTATTTTTAAGACTTGCGGAAATTTCGCCAATATTCTCGATGACCTGGTAATGTTGTGAAATAGGTAAAAGCTTTTTAATACCAATTTTTCCCTTCCTCCTTCCCATAGGGGCGCTCGGCAGTTCACATGTCCGCTTCGACGGGGCGGTACGAGATCCTGGAGTGGCTCCTCAACCACGGCGCCTACATTAACGGCCAGGACTTCGAGTCTGGCAGCACTCCCCTGCACCGGGCTCTGTACTACGGTTCCCTAGACTGTGCCGTGCTTCTGCTGCGGTATGGCGCCAGCCTGGACCTCTTAGACGAGGACTCAAGGTGTCCCCTGCAGGCAATTTGCCGTAAGTGCGACGACGACGATGGCTTAGGCACAGATTCGCAGTGAGTTTGGAGAGAAGTACTCGTTGATAGGGTTTCAATCTAACCAATTATCTAATCTCACTCTAGAAACGACGTCTTGGTCTGGGGTTCCAACAAGAACTACAATCTTGGGGTTGCCAGCGAACAAAACTCCAATGCGCCGCAGGTCGTGGATTTCTTTCGCAAGTCTAGCATTTACTTGGAGCAGGTTGCCCTGGGCGCCTATCACAGTCTCTTCTGCGACAAAAAGGGGCACCTGTACGCCGTGGGACACGGCAAGGGTGGTCGCCTGGGCATCGGAGCGGAGAACAGCCTGCCAGCACCCAAGCGCGTGAAGGTCTCCTCCAAGCTGGGAGACGACTCCATTCGCTGCATCAGCGTCTCCCGCCAACACTCGCTGGTGCTCACGCACCGCTCGTTGGTTTTCGCCTGCGGGCTCAACAGCGACCATCAGCTGGGCGTGCGTGACGCACCCGAGCACCTCGCTCAGTTCAAAGAAGTGGTCGCCTTGCGTGACAAGGGTGCCAGCGACCTTATGCGCGTGATTGCCTGCGATCAACACTCCATCGCCTACGGCAGCAGGTGTGTCTACGTCTGGGGGGCCAATCACGGTCAGTTTGGCATCAGTGCAAACACGTCCAGTATTATGGTTCCCACAATGGTAAGTTGTACTCGCCTCTATGGACTATAAATAAACTTTTCTCGTGCAGATCAAGCTGCCAGCTAAGACCACCATTCGCTTTGTAGAGGCCAACAATGCAGCCACGGTAATTTACAGCGAAGAAAAGATGATAACACTCTTCTATGCCGACAAGACTAGATACATTAAGACTCCAAAGTAAGATGTCTCAGAGGGTTCCAAGAAATTTAATGGAAATATATTACTTACTCCAGCTACGAGGATCTCAAGAGCATATCGGTGATGGGTGGTCACTTGAAGAACTCCGCCAAGGGCTCGGCGGCAGCTCTGAAGCTACTGATGCTCACCGAAACTAATGTGGTGTATCTTTGGTATGAGAACTCACAGCAATTTTATAGGTAAGTCAGTAAAGTAACTTTACATTCTTTAGATCTCTAATGAACTTCGCTTTGCAGATGTAATTTCTCGCCCATCCGACTGCCAGAGATTAAAAAAATCCTCTACAAATGCAATCAGGTAATGGTTCTTTCTGAAGATGGCTGCGTTTATCGCGGCAAGTGCAATCAGATCGCTTTGCCCGCCTCCGCGCTGCAGGAGGAGAGGTCCCGGCCCAATCTAGACATCTGGCAGAACAATGATCAGAATAAAACGGAAATCTCCCGCGAGCATGTTATCCGCATCGAGCTGCATCGCGTACCTAACATCGACCGGGCCATCGATATTAACTGCGACGAGGGCTTTTCCTCGTTTGCCGTACTGCAGGAGTCGCACAAAAAGTATTTCCGGAAGCCCCAACTGCCACGCAGGGAGCACAGCTTTAAGAAGCTGCTGCACGAAACCAGCGATTGTGATGCCGTCCACGATGTGGTGTTCCATGTAGACGGCGAGAAGTTTCCCGCCCACAAGTTCATCATTTACAGCAGGGCTCCGGGACTCAGAGAGCTAATACGTTGCTATTTAGACAAGGATATCTACCTCAATTTGGAGCATTTAACGGGAAAGATGTTTGAACTGGTCCTCAAGCACATTTACTCAAGCTACTGGCCCACTGAAGATGGTGAGTTGAGGCTTGCCAAGATTTAAAATATATCTTAAGTAATCACATCTTCTTTATCACAGATATTGACTGCATTCAGCAGAGTTTGGGCCCTGCGAATCCCCATGAGCGGCGACGCACCTGCGAGATGTTCCTAACGCATTTGGAAAAGTTCGAACTGGTCGATTTGGCCAAGTATGTGCAGAGCTATGTGCGCGACCATCAATTCCCACTTCCTAGTGCCCGTCAGCGATTTAGTCGCTTGCATCGGTCCGATTTCCCCGAGCTCTACGATGTGAGGATTGTGTGCGAGGACGGCAAGGTACTGGAGGCCCACAAGTGCATGCTGGTTGCTCGACTGGAGTACTTTGAGATGATGTTCATGCACATGTGGGCGGAGCGCTCTTCGGTAACCATGGAGGGAGTGCCCTCGGAATATATGGAGCCGGTGCTAGACTATCTTTACTGCCTTGAAACCGAGACTTTTTGCAAGCAGGGCTATCTGGAGACGTTTCTGTACAACATGATTACCATTTGCGATCAGTACTTCATCGAGTCACTGCAGAATGTGTGTGAGGTGCTCATTCTGGACAAGATCAGCATACGCAAGTGCGGCGAGATGCTCGAATTTGCAGCCATGTACAACTGTAAGTTGCTGCAAAAGGGATGCATGGACTTCATCTGCCAAAACCTGGCTAGGGTGCTATGCTATCGCAGCATAGAGCAGTGCGACGGTGAAACTTTAAAGTGCCTGAACGAGCACTACCAAAAGATGTTCAAAAAGGTCTTCGACTACCGGCAGATCACGCCTTTTTCGGAGGCCATAGAAGATGAGCTGCTACTCAGTTTCGTCGACGGTTGTGAGGTGGATCTGGAATATCGAATGGATGCGGTTTGTGGCTAATCGAAGCTTAGCTTTTCGAGTTTCCTAATGTGTTATTTTCAGGAATCGAAGCTGAAACAAGCTGCTAAGCATAAACAGAAGGAGTTACGCAAGCAGGATGCCCGCCATCATTACGAACAGCAGGCCATATCGAGCATGATGAGATCCATAAGTATCAGTGAGGCTGCAGAATTGCCTGCATCTCCAAAAGAAGCAGCTCACAGTGAGGCTAAGAACTGGTCACGAGTGGTGGATAAGAAGGAGCAAAAGCGGAAGCAGGCCGAGACGGCATTAAAAGTCAACAACACGCTTAAGCAGGAGGAGCCACCGACGCCTGTAATGGTGGCCATGGAGAGGACGCCCGTGAAGGAGCAAACACCACCTCCGTTATCTCCTGAAATGGAGCCTGGTACCAGCACGCCTCTGAACAAGAGCTATAATCTCGATCTAAGCTCCCTCACGCCCCAGTCGCAGAAGTTGTCCCAGAAGCAGCGAAAGCGCCTCTCCTCTGAATCGAAGAGTTGGCGTGCAAATAATTCACCTTTGGTTGAGCAAACCTCCACTCCAGTAGTTATTCCGAATGCCTGGGGTGTGACGACCACGCCATCGAGTTCTTTTAACGACACCTTCAATTCTCCAGCCACTGGTAGCAGCACGGATCCTACCTCATTCGCCAACATGATGAGGGGTCAACAAGCTGCTGCCACAACTCCCACCGAGAAGGGTCAGAGTTTCTCACGCATTCTGGCAGACGAGCGACGACAGCGGGAGTCATACGAACGGATGCGTAACAAATCTCTAGTTCATACTCAGATCGAGGAGACGGCCATAGCCGAACTCAGGGAGTTTTACAACGTGGACAACATTGACGACGAGACCATTACCATTGCCCGCGTATCTAGGCCCAGTGACATTAACTTTAGCACTTGGCTGAAGCAGTGAATCGTCGTGTAAACGCTCTACCTTTTAAGGTAGCTCAGCTATGTATGTTCATGTTTCGTTCTTCTTTTTTTTTTATTAGACTCCAAATTTTAAAATGTTTTTGAAGCGATTTATACTGCGAACGGGGGGTGGACATCAAATGTAGAACTCGGAGCCGCCTGGAAAGATGCTCACAATGTACTCTCCTGCTGAACCTGATGCAATTGGGAGCTTGGACGGCACACATATTGGGTAACAAACTTTATTGCATGAGCACATACGTAGATAATACATATAGATATAGATATTTACAAGTTGGGGACATACTCGACAATGAGGTGGCAACAAGAGACAAGTGACGAATAAATAGCCATCTAAGCTAAGCTAAATCGAACCGAAACCCGAAAGTAAACCCGTTGCTTATGCAAATGAGAACACGATGAACGAGGGATAGAGCGATGAGAGGACCGGTGGACTTGGAACTGGAGATGGCGATGGAGATGGAGATGGAGGCAAGAGATGTGGCTTGTTCAGAAGCACTCCTTACGAAAGGCGAATCCGTACTGGTCGCACTTGTATCTCAGCGTTTTGGCCAACTGCGGTGGACCGCAGTAGAATACGGTGACTTTGCCCTTCTGCTGGGCCTGCAGTTGCTTGAACACCTTGTCCCAGTTGGGTCGTCCGGCATTGGTGCGGGTCTTCAAACCCGTAATCAGATCCCGCTTGCCCTGGAAGAGGAGGAGAACCAAGAGCTTTAACAAAGCCAGTCTTTGTGGATTTCCCTGAGTTACCTTCTCGTGCAGCAGATCCAAAGCGAGTTGCAGGCCAACAGCCTTCATATCTGTTCTCTGCAGCGCACTCGTGATGTACATGTGCATGTCCAGGAAGCTGTGGATTGTCCACAAGTTAAATTGCTTGAAGATGTACTTCCTAATTGGACTCACCGCTCCATGGCACCGCCCAGCTCCGCTTGCTCGATCTCCAGCTGCGACAACAGGTTGACAAACCACTCGAAAGAGCGCTGATCCCGATTAATCCAGAAAAAGTCCACCTTGCGCAGGTTCATCACAGACTTGGGTATCTCGCTGGCCCACTCGAACTGGCACCGCGGGCAGCTGTGGCGCGCCTTCCAGTAGCGATGCATGATGGACTGCAGGATGGACGCGAAAGGTGTGACTCCAATACCAGTGCCAATGAGCACTGCGTGCTGGGCCCCAAAGATGTGACTCGAGGGAGCACCATACGGACCATCGATGAAGATCTGCGAGGAGGTTAACGCAATGAACATTAGCAAAGTGTTAGTGGATTAGCCTTAGGTGGCCAAGTGTGTGTATGTTTTGTGTGAACCCGCACCTCCATGACGCCCGCATCGAGTGTGACCTTGCCACCGTTGTTATTTGTGGAGCTACCAGTCGATCCTCCACCGCCGCCTCCGCCTGATCTGTTATTTATGGAGGTGGAGAGGGTGCGCAGGAATGTGGGACGTCGCAGAATGGACTTTCTGCTGCCCGATCCTGCCGTCTGTACCTGATCCTTTTGTTGAATATGCATTAGTTGTTTTAGATGGGTTAGTTTTCAGTGGATCTCAGCAACCAATCGCTTACCTCCAGTGGCTTGGAGGCCACCTCAGCCGCCAGACTAAGCCTGGCCATCTGTAACTTATCACCTGAGTCTGTTCTAGAACCCATTGGAATTCCCTGCTCCGCCCTGCTGGCCGGGTTTCCGCCGATGACCTCACCCGTTGCCAGCTGGTTCTCCCGCTCCTCCATACTGGGCGTCTTGAAGGCAATGATGGTGGGCTTGGTGCGCATATAGCGGAAACTCTGCGCCAGCGACTTGTTCTGGGGACTGAGGTAGGCCAATCCCACGCTGTTGTTCCGGGCACGGCGAACCCGCTTCTCATCAAATGCGGACTCGGACTCGGAGCGACCCAGAGCTCGAAGTCTGCGGATTAGGTGTGAGTATCTTGGAGAAACTTTACCTAATTAATTACTTACGCCTTGAGGCGACTGCGCTTCTTGCTTTTAACACTGATGTCCGGCAGGGAGATGCTCTTTTCCAGGGGCCTCTGCTTAAGGTTGGAATCCTCCCGCTCGCTGTCTGCCTGGAAAGCTCCATTGGGCATGCCTTTCTTCGGCTCAGCCGTCTCTTTCCTAGAGAAAGTACGCTGCAGACTTTTCTTTATACTTCGAATGCGGTTCACTCCTGTAGCTGGCGGGTCAGGAGCGGTTCCTACCGCAGGTTTGCGGTTCTGGCGAGGAGGACGCACTGGCGGCACCGCCTGTACAGCCAGATTTCTGGCCAGGAAATCCGTTTGCGGAGTGGCAGTGGATCTCTCGCCGGCCATGGCCGGGTTCCGGGACTCATTCAGAAGCATAAAACTGGGAGTGGGAATTGCGTGCATATGTTGGTTCACCTCAACGGAGGAGCCACCCTGCTGCAGCTTCTGTTGCTCCCTTTCAAAGTAGCGATAAAGACGATTCGTCCACTCGCCCACGGTGCGTATGTGTAACCACATGTAGTCCTCCTGCTCCGGCGCGGAGCTGATGGTGAACGGATGCCACTCATAGTTGGCTATAGCTGGGATGTTCACAAAGACATAGTCCCCGGGCCGGAAGTTAAAGTGGAACGGCCGCTTAATGACCAAGTGCACCACCTTGGAGGGCAGAAGCAGCCCAGAACTGATATAGGTTTTTCCATGCTCACCCTTCATCCAAATGAAGCGCAGCGCCCGCTCCACAATGTATACCAGTCCTGGGAGCATAAACCACTTCCAGAAGTTGGGTCCGTGGAATAAGCACAGCACCCAGAAGGGCACATATAAAAGATGGGTCCAGTAAAACACCTCGAAGCTGCCCTTTCGCCGGACAAAGGGCTGAGAGCATACAAACATCACCATCAGAATGGCCAACAGGGCAACACCAGTGGGATTCGCACATCCAGGGATCAGGCCAAAGAGTCCTGGACGATCTGTGAGTAGCCACTCCCCAATGGTGTAGTGTCCCGCATTGATGTTCGGATCGTTGATAACGATAATCGAGAAGTTAAACAGGTGCATTACGGTGTGGACCAAGCTGAGCACGGATATCGTGATGCCTGTGAGCTTGTGCAAATAGACGTGATGGTCCAACGGGAGATACGAGGACAGACCTCTTCCTCTCAGGTAGGTCAGTGAGTGTCGCAGCATAAGTACAAGGACCCAGGCGCAGTTGAAGTTAAGGCATTGTCCTGGAGGATGAAACAATATATATTTATTTTTAAATTAATAATTCCGGAGTAGTCTAGGACTCACCACAAGCTCTGGCTATGATGACGAATCCATTGCTGGCACGATACTGAATGGCGCGGGAGATAAAGAGGCACAGATTGACGGCTATATAGAAGAACAAGTAGGTGACAAAGACCTGGTTGTTCTTCATGTAAGCCAAAGACAGCTGGTGGGGCAGAGAGCTCCAGAAACCGCTTTTGGCGGCTCCACCAGCCTGTCGGTCCTCGGCTATGGGTACCAGCCAGCGATCGATCCTACAAAACAATTAAATCTGTAAATTTCTTGAAATTTGAATTCTCTTAAGATCTTACGTTATGCTCAGGTTCTCTAAAAGACCACCGTGCTTATTGAGCTGGTTCTTCAACGCCTCGTAGGTGATCTCGCCGCTGTTGTGGGGATCGGCATCTTCGAACATGGCGCTGGTGAGGTCCTCGATCTGGTCCTCGGAGAACTCCATGCCATTTTCCTTAATGCAATGCCTGATGACATCGTGCAGCTCCTTGTGCTGGATGAGACCATCGCCTGGTGAAGAAATAAAAGGTAATCTCTGATAGATATTAGTATTTCAGAATAACAGCTCACCATCTATGTCATAGACCTTGAACAGAAACCGGATTTTGTCATCCGCCGACTGTCCTGAGAACTGGTGTATGGCATCGATGAACTCCTGAAGGGAAATCGAACCCGAATTGTCCTTGTCGAAGATCTGGAAGACACGCTCCGTAAAAAAGGGCTAAAAATGTGGCAAGAGATAAGGTTTATTAACAGTTAAGTCTTCGTTATTTCTATTATAGACTCACATTCTTGGAGGTCACAATCTTCTGGAACTCCTCCCTTCTTATCTCCTGCTCGTTTCCCACTGTGGTGCGGAAGAGCTGCTCCAGCCTGGCCAGTGAGCTCTTGTCAAAGCCGGTCCTTGGGCGGGAGTTGGTTAAATGGGAAATAAACTCCATCACTTGATTTGTGGACACCAGATTGCTGCCATCCACCTCTATCAGGCGGTAGAGTTTATCCAATATCTAATAAATAGGATTAAAATGAATCTAATTTCTGGCAAGGATTGTTATCCACTCACCCCTCTTGTGTGCCAGATGTCGCGGAAGTTCTTGAAGCTAACGCGGCTGTTCTCACCGCAAATCACATAGGCCACCGACTCGATCTGCTCGGCAAAGTCCATCTGGCGGTCGTCTCTAAAATAAATCCATAAGATGTACTCAACCTCAAACTGATCCAATCTGTGCAAGCACCCTCCCACTTCCCCAATTATTGTGCCACAGAAAAAAATGGGATGGTTTATGATACTTGAATTCGTAATGTTCGAAGTTAGCTCTATAAAACTGATGAATCAAATTGATATTATATATACTTCTTCATTATATTGTACTGATACCAATTAAGTAACTCATCTCAATCTTTATTTAGCCAACCATTTTCTTTTCTGTGCACCCAATACCAGGTCGTGCTCTTCCCCACACCCGCGCCTGCACCCTGGGATGCCTCCTATGTCGCTGCTGCTGCTGCTCGCACTATATTTGTATTTGAATGACTTCATTACGACAGGCAGGCAATGACAGTTTGTGGCTGCAGTCGCCATCCCAGTCCAGGTCCCGGTCCCAGACCCAACTCTAGCATAGAGCCGCTGTCGAGGCACGCGGACTATGTTAGCTGTTGTATATGTTAACACACGGCGCAGATAGCATCGCCATGGGCAAACGGACAGCGTCTGGGAACGAGGCTGGCATCTGGGATCGGTGGCGAGAGGCATTCGCGGCAGCTTCTGGTCGGCGCAGCTGGAATGCCTGGAGCACGCCAGTCAGCTCTCCAGCTCAACTCTCAACTAGGTGCGTGTGTGGATCCAAGTGGAGCGGACTGGATCGGATAGCTATTTTTTCCAAGGCGAGCTAATTGTTTTGGCACCGTCGCAGCATCGATCTCAGAGGAGAAGGAGGAGGTAACAGGGCTGGAGGAGCTTGGAGTGCTGAAGAAGCTAAAGGAGCTAGATGAGTCGATACCCAAACTTACGTCAGACGACCCTTGAGGTGCTCAATCCAGCGATCTTGCAGGAGATAGCCATTCCGCTCGAGATCGAACAGCTGGAAGAGCTTCTGCTGGAATTCCTGTAAGTAAGCAAGTTGGAAAAAAAAAACAAGTTGTAAAGATCAGAATTTATGCGTCTCCGTTTCTATGAAAGTGTTAATTAATTTATCTTTCATCTCTGTTTGCATTGTTTGGAGAAGCATTTGTTTATACCCCACACTCGGGAGATTTATATACACGAAAGAGTGTTTACACTGCTCGCGGTTCGCGGAGATCCCCACGTAATGAGCATAATTAAGGGGAAGAGGTGTTCTGGTCCCACGATCCCCCATCGAATCCAATTCGAAGCCCCAACTATGCGGCAGTGATTGAGACAAATGCCTGGCATAAATTATCCGCTTATTAATATTTTAATGACATTCGATCTCACGATCATGAGAGCCCATCACATTGTCTGCAAAGTTAAAGCGCATCGGCAGCATCTTTTGCATTTGGTCACAGTTGGCTAGCTGACGCCGATGGCGATGGAGATGGAGATCTCCCGATGATGAAAAATGTGCATATTTAACGGATGAGCCCTGACTGGTTAGGCAGCTTTCGGGGAGCCCATAAAAACAAAATACTTGCGGCCGAAACCAAAGCCGCAACAAAGTAAATACAAGCTGAGCCCATCAAAAAACGGGTTTTACGATCGATCGCTGGACCAGCTCGTTGACCGGGTAAAGGACCACAGAATAAGTGGCACAAGGTCACCTTAGTAGTCTGGATCGATCGGAGTTGGAGACCCATATCCATATCCATTACCATTCCCCATTCGCATTCCCATTTTGCATGGACAGTGATGTAATTAATAACTTACAGAACTCAATATATCGTTTTAAACTCAGTATCGAGGGTTCGGAATTGAGTGGGTATCGAATTCCTCAAGTGCCGTCATTTTGTTGTTAATACATGATTTTTTATTGTTGCTTTATGGGATCTAGATAGGAGATTTCACTGGGTTCATATACTCCTTCTGTTACAGGTTTGATTTTATTTATATTTTTGGAATATTATTTCACTTAGATCAGATTCTGGGGATTATTTTGTTTGGACTTTAATTGCAAAACTCACACTTGATACTATTACAAAGGAAACTTTAAATATATAAAATTCATATTTCTAATTTTTGCCTCAAGGACTCCTCTCCAAATTGCAAATGACACTCACCTCATCAAGGAACAACTTGCGGAAGGCTTCCCTAGTATGCTTTCCCTCGCCCTCGTCGAACAGAGCACTGCACTCGGATATGAGAAGCCAGCGTTGCTTCTCCCGGCGCGCCTCCAGCTCCATGGAGCTGCAGTTCTTATCTAAATTGAGGTTGTATCGTTCCATGTACAAATTTGATTGCCGCTGATTCGGATTTCCATTTCCACTACCATTTCCATTCGTAGACGCAGTCGCTCTGGCAATCGCTTCCTGCTTGCCAACGCTGGCAACTAGAATGCTGGGAGAGCTGGCCATAGATGCCGCCGGTGCATCTGCACTGACCACATCTACTACATCATCCAAGTTGAGAACAGCCGCTTCGCTCTCTTCACTATCACTATTTGGTTGCACTTCCTCTTCCCCGGTGGGGGAGAATCGCGTGCGCCATGCAATCTCTCTAGATATTGTGCAGCCTGTTGGAGCACGTGACTCACTCCAGTGGCCACTGGCGGCTGGATGGGTTGCTGGGCTGGGGTCTGGGATTGCGGAAGCTCATCCGAGAAGGACACTTTTTTGGGGGAACGCGACGGTGTGGCGGGTATCTCGAGGGAACGGCTAGAGGACACTGAACCGCGGTGGTTACTCGAATCCTGTTCGGCGTCCATGTTCGTTAAGGGGTTGAAGGAATCACAAGAAGGCACTCTACACTTGGCAGGAACTCATGCCCGAGGATAGGGGCGTGCGGATTATCCTTGAAGCAAACACGACGGCGTTACGAGAGCAACACAGCGACGGCACAGGCGTAAGACTAAGGCTGTATTAGAGCAAAACTTGGTGAAGCTTTATTTAAGAAACTTTGCGTAAGGGCTACTTTAAAGTTCACCACATTATCCGAAGGAGTTATCCTTAAGTCACTGATATTACACAAAGTCGTCACAGGAGCAGCACACTAGGCAATCCCTGCAACAGGTATGAATAAATCTTCACTTTCAAGTAGTCACTAATCACAATCACTTGCTCTACAAGGAGCTCGAGAGTGGGAATGATCCTCGCGTCGGGGGTTAAGGCTTAACGACGGCGTTACGAGAGCAACACGACGGCGTAACGGGAGCAACACGACGCGATCCAAGCAAGAAGCAACACCAATCGGCGGCAGCGGCGAGCAGCAACTGAAAGCGAAAGCCAGGCGGACGCACGAGCCAGGTGAGGTGAGGGCCTCGGATCGTATCGGATCGCAGTGCTATACCTGCGCAGGTGGCGCGCATGGGTATGGGTGAGCGGGAGACCGAGACCGAGACCGAAGCGGCGCTCGACGCTTTAAAAAACGCGTTTGCCCAATATATCGGTTCAATATATATTTATTTCAGGCTTCTGCCAAGCGAGCGACTTTTAGAATGGACGTGCAACTGGACGACGTTCCAGCAGATACGTGTGTGTTTGTGCGAGTGCGACGCGTATCTTTGCATCTGTATCTGCATCCGACTCATAAAATGGCTGCTGCTGCTGCTGCTGCCGCTGCCGCTGCTCCGTGATATTCTAATTTGGTTTTCGCGACTCATTCGAGCTTCTGTGTACTTATTCGATAAGGGCTGCAAATAATTCAGGTGGTGCGGTGGCGACGTCTTCATTTTTTAATTTCAACGCCCGTGTTTCGTAACCAATCAAACTTGTGTTTATGTGCCGCTACCATGGAACGTGTCTATTTCCGAATTCCCGGAGTCGCAGTGCACGGCACATACCATCCGATCCGCTTTTGTTTCGGACTGCAATCGGAATTGTTGCTTCAAGTTTTGGCAGCAACTCATCATCGCGTAATGGGTCAAGCACCGACGGATTGGCCAGGAAGTGAGTGCGTGATTGGAGCGGCGTAGCCAATTCAACGAGTATTCAAGAGCTCTAAGCGGTCAATCCGGCTCAAGGTCGAACCCAACACTTTGCTGGATCTGTGGATACTTTGGTTACTTTCAACAATGTATTGTTATCGTGTCGTTGAACCACCGCCACCTCCCATCCTCCCAAGCCCCAAGTCAAGCGATTGCAGCGCCTTGAAATCGAAATTGAAGTTAAAGTTTGAAGTTGGTGCTGAAGCTGTGAAGTCGCTCCGCCAAAGGGCAATCTGACGGATACTTTGTAGATCAACAGCTGTGTGACTCGTGTCTTGTTTTCCTAAATGCCGCTATTTTTATGCTGCACGGAAAGAAATAAATAATAGCTAGAAAGAAAGCCAAGGAAGATTGAAATCACAAGGACTTAAAACAATATAAATTATATGTATTTATGTTAAAAAACAAGTAAGTAATGCCTACTTTCATTTCATTCACCTTTATATTTTCGTATATTTTCAACGATCGTTTGTATGGCAGCTTAATGATATAGTCGTCCGATTTTCAGAAAATTTTACACAAAATTTTAAATTAATATGTATGTTATGGCTACATACATATCAAATTTGATGAAATTCTGTTGAAAACTGTAAGTTATAGTTTTTTTTTTCATAAAAATTTCCGATCGTTCCTATGGCAGCTATATAAAAAAATATATATATATATATACATATACAAATAGTCCCCCGATTCGCCTACTAGTTATATATACTAACTGATCATAATTACTTATTGGTCATAGATACTTACTGGTCATAGATACTTAGTGTTCAGAGTTACTTACTGCTCATACTTAAAAACTGGTCATAGATACTTACTGTTCAAAATTACTTACTGCTCATAACTAATTATTGATCATAGTTCTATAAGTCGTTCGATTGTTCCTATGTCACCTATATATATATATATAGCCCACCGATTGGCCTTGCTCCGACTTATATATTAGTACAATTATATAGAAGACTAACTCCATAGTTTCATTCAAATAGCTTGCTCTTTGTTTCAAAACAAATCTCCCACATCTGTGCATATGATTCCCAACTGGTTCTAACATCCCCGGAACGAAGTGACTTCTGCCGGCCAAGTCTCAGAAATGTGTTGTGTTACAAAAGTTGCAAGTCATTGTTTATTAGTGTTCATAATTACTAACTGGTCATTGATACTAACTCGTGATAGATACTTACTGGTCAAAGTTACTTGCTGTTCATCGATACTTTCTGGTCATAGATCTTAGTGTTCAAAGTTACTTACTGGCCATAGATACTTACTATTCAGAGTTACTTACTGCTCATAGTTACTTACTGATCATAGTTCTATAAATCGTCCGATTGTTCCTATGTCAGCTATATATGTATTTGTATATATACATATAGTCCACCGATTAGCTATTCTCCGACTTATATACTCGTAAAATTATATAGACGAATAACTCCATAGTTTCATTCAAATAGCTTTAATTTGTTCCAAAACAAATCTCGAACATCTGTGCATATGATTCCCAACTGGTTCTAACTTCCCCGGAACGAAGTGACTTGTGCCGGCCAAGTCTCAGAAATGTGTTGTGTTACAAAAGTTGCAAGTCATTGTTTATTAGTGTTCAAAGTTAGTAACTGATCATAAATAATTACTAGTTATAGATATTAACTGATCATAATTACTTATTGGTCATAGATACTTACTGGTCATAGATACGTAGTGTTCAGAGTTACTTACTGCTCATACTTAATTACTGATCATAGATACTTAATGTTCAAAATTACTTACTGCTCATAACTAATTATTGATCATAGTTCTATAGATCGTCCGATTATTCCTATGTCAGCTATATATATGTATATATATAGCCCACCGATTGGCCTTGCTCCGACTTATATATTAGTACAATTATATAGAAGACTAACTCCATAGTTTCATTCAAATAGCTTGCTCTTTGTTTCAAAACAAATCTCCCACATCTGTGCATGTGATTCCCAACTGGTTCTAACATCCCCGGAACGAAGTGACTTCTGCCGGCCAAGTCTCAGAAATGTGTTGTGTTATAAAAGTTGCAAGTCATTGTTTATTAGTGTTCAAAGTTAGTAACTGATCATACATACTGGTCATAGATACGTACTTGTCAAAGTTACTTGCTGTTCATTGATACTAGTCATAGATACTTACTGTTTAGAGTTATTTACCGGTCATAGTTTATTACTGATCATAGTTACTTAGTGGATACTTACTGATCATATTTACTTCCTGTTAATACTTCACAGTTAATTACTTATCATAGTTTCAATGGCAGCTATATGATATATTCGTCCGATCTGGCTCTAAAATTATAATACTTTGTAAGGGTATAATGCTGGCTAATTAAGATAACCCCTTTTTTCTCTGTGCAAAGAACGGTGTGATCTGCTGATTAATGTTTGACAGCGGCCTTTGGCTTTTGTTTACAGGTCACTGGCCCGCACGGAATCGGAATCTGATTATGAGATACAGATACAGGTATAAGATTCAATTTCAATTTCTGCTTCATATACAGATTCAAATCGTTTCCGCCTCCGCTTCACACTCGGCTAATCCGGAGCTGCATATGTAAGCCACTTGTAGATCGGAACGAGCCATGTGCCTGCTCCAGGTATCTTGGTATCTCACATCCGGCCAGCTTAGCGGGCTTAGCTCACTTTGGCTAATACCGAAGTAACTCACCTGCCAACTGTGTGCGTTTATGGCCATTGTTAATTGCTGAAATTGGCATTCCCAATCGCAGCGGGCGACACTCTCGGCTGGTCAGCAAGTCGCATTCGCCAGATACAGATGCATGGCACAGCTACAGCTACATTTAGAGGTACAGCTCCCCCGTTGGTGGCCAGGGAATTGGCCACTGTCGTCCAGTGGTCATTGGTCCCTCATTGTGATGGCAGCGGTGGCGCTGCAATTGACACCGCTGCGGCCAATTAAGCCCGCAGTTACATCCGCGGAATTGGAGTTGCCCGTTGCCCGTTGCAGTTGGCATCAACAGACCAGTAGACAGAGATACACAGAGTCATCCGCCGGGTGGTCCCATGGTTAAACGAATCCCCGACTGCTGGCATGCAGATTGATTTGCTTGGCAAACGACCGCCGCTTGTGGGCAATTTTCCAAGTGGCCGGCGACGAGAGCGGTGTCATCAATTTAAATTAAGTTCCAGCTTTTTATCGCCACTCGGCGGACCAGTCTCTTCCTTGGCGCAGTATCTCCGGTCTCCTCCGTCATCATTATCCAAAACATGTCATTAGGCGGCCGCGAAGATGCCCAAGTGCCAGTGCCAGTGCCTGTGCCAGAATCCTGTTCTGCGGCGACTGTCTTCGCTATCAACTTGGCATTCCAGCTTCGGTGCTGGCAGCAGCAGCGACGCTGGCTGAGATGTCGCCGTTGTTGCGTGCAGCGGAAATTGGCCAAAGTGAGATACAGATACTGCGGTCGCGGCTCGGATTCAGACTCCGCAGAGCCGCGGACGCGCTTACATCGATCGGTTTCGCCTAATAAAGCGACCGCGGTCGCCACGCTAATTAAAATAATTGAAATTTCTCACGGGAAACGCGCATCGCGACACTTGCAGGGCATCCTTTCGATCTGGTCTCCATCCTCCTCCATTCTGATTCCCATTGCCAACCCATATCCGTTGCTAGTGCGGCTAATTGCAAATTGCAACATGGACAAGTGGACATGTCCAACAATCGAATTGACAGCTGCTTTACCCCTTGTCCCTGGCACATTTGATGGACATTAACATGGATCATCGGCCGTTGTCTCTGCGCCGCCAGGAGGACTCCGAGCCATCGAGGATTCCAGCATAAATGCATAAATTTCATTAGTCGCTGACAGCAGGAACGCTTCCCGCTAGTGTCAGGCACCTAAATTAAATGTCCGCCTAGCTAACCGGCCTCACTAAATAATTCAGCTTTCAATGATTGCAGATTCTTAACCCTTTTTTTGTGGCTTGTGGTTAATTTAGATTTTTGAGGACTATTCATAGAGGGGATTTCCACATTAAATGTATCGTGTGTGCACTTTTGGGATGAAATTCTAAAAAAAAATAAAAAATAAAGCCCAGAACCATTTTCATCAACTATTCACAAGTATTAAGTAAAGCTTAAAAATACAAAACAAATAGAAAATTTGGATTGGAGCTACAATGAATGAGCTCAGATAATGTAGGCATTATATATTAGAATCAGAAATGGTCACAAGATGTAAAAATTACAAATTCATTTTTGTATGAAGTTTATAAAAACTGTTTTAAGTTTACAAACATATGAATATTAAAAGTAATACTAATAAGTAATAACAAATTGCTGGAGTTTTCATGACATGACAAATAATAGGAACAATCTATAAAATATTAAACACGCAGAACTCAGAATTCATTAGAATATGAAGGTGTCAAATAAAATAAAGAGATAAAGAGAAATAAAAATATTTTCTTGAATAATAAATGCTGCGTGACATTTCTGATTATTTTTATATCTATATTTTTTTGAGTAATAAGTCGTGAGTGTTATAGTTCCCTATACCTTAAGACCACGCATAAAATGGGTTAAGAGTAGCACAGGAAATGCTGACCAAAAAATAATAAAAAAAGGCCACTAAACGCAGTCACAAGAAAATATTGTTGCCGACGATCGCGATTCCGTGGATCGTGGCATGCGCACTCTGATCGAGATTGCAGCGACAGATAGCAGACCGAAGTTACGATCATACATATGCATATAGACTCTGGGTCCAGCCAGCATTGGCTCCAGCTCCAGCTCCTCCGGCAATCCCGCCTTGGGGCCGTAAAGTTGTCGAAAATGATTTGCAGATCAAGATTTGGGAGCACAATTTATGTGATAACCCACTCTAAGAGCAGCCGAAAAAATACTAGAGAGAGAGATCATAGCATTGCTATGCGAGATCCGTGCTATGCTGTTCCGTTCCATTCCTCCTCCTGGCTCCTTCCGCCTCCAACTGGGTCCAATTAGTGCGTGGACTGCGGCTGCATTGGAAATGCATGGACAATTGTTAGTGCCTCCATGTAGCGCTAATAATGACGCCTTTAAATGTGCAATAACAATTTTTGAGGCGCGCAAAAAGTGCCTTCTATATATATGTATATATATATCTACATCGTGCATCGCACAGCTATATCTATCTCCATTGCCAGTCCATGTGTGTGTGTGTGAGCTAGAGCAGTAAGTACCGCCCATAGGCTGGAAAACCAACTACTGCCCCTCATCCCGTCCAGATCGATCTACACAAAAAAAAGCTGCTCATGAGCTACGTGAGTTTTTTACTGATCAGCAGAAGATTGACTTTGATCTGTTGGTGGTAATGGCTGGATGGTTAATGGG